GGCTCAGGATCATAAAAGGGTCTACTAGGCTCAAAGGGGTTTGGGGTTAGGGTTTAGGGTTTAGGGTTTAGCCGACTCCCCGAGCCCTCAACCTGCGGCGCCACAATTTGAATGGGTGTCGGGTTTGTGGTTCAGGGACTCCTAACCTGGCGATTCCTGTCATAAGGTGCCCCAGGCCCTAAACCCTAGAACCTAAAACCCTAAACCCTAAACCCAGAAGGTACTCTGAAAGAACCTAAGCCTTCAGCTAGTAGGGAAGAGTGCGGGACCGGCGGGGGAGGGGAGGGAAAGGACCCTAAACCCTAACAAAATTTTCTTCGTTGTACGGCTAAGAAAGGGATCATAAGCTATTAATTGTTCGGGGTTTCTGAAGCGAAGAGTAGGGAATGTGGGATGTTCCCCCTTATACTACCAGTCCTCAATAGGGGGTTCGGGTACTATAACCCTATTAAGGAGCTCTTAGTCGAAGTGTGGAGAACCCAACCCTGAACCCTAACTAAGGTAGACCCTTGGGATAATTTGATATTTTCCCTTATTGTGTGTAAGAGGGTCAGATTTAGGAACATAAGTTTCACAAGTTTGGGGTTTAGGGTTTAGGGTTTAGGGTTCAGGGTTTAGGGTTTAGGGGGAACATCCAGGGAGTGAATGCTCGAGCTTGATGATTTTTCAACGGTGTCCACCAGCCACCTCAAGCTCTTCTACGGCCAAGCTGCATGTTGAACCGACCTGAGGTTTCTTGCACCCCGAACCCTAAACCCTAAACCCCAAATCCTAAACCCTAAACCCTAGACCCTAAACCCCAAATCCTAAACCCTAATTCCTAAACCCTAAACCCTAAACTGCACAGTTCTCCAAAGTGTGGTCCCGTTTGTGGTACCTCGACAATGTTCACGGCTCCTCTGCTTCACACAGGGGGAGCTCACCATCCCACAGCTCCCTAAACCCTAAACCCTAAACCCTAAACCCTAAACCCTAAACCCTAAACCCTAAACCCTAAACCCCCCAAAGCCCCCAAAGCCCCCCAAAACCCTACCCGCTGATTAGGGTGAACCTGGGGCTCCATGCTCCATTTACCTCCTGTTTTGGGGGGGTGATACCCTATCCCTAGGGCTCCAAGTATGCAAATAATGCTTACATTGGGGTCTAAAGTTTGTAAATAGTACCTACTTTGGGCTATTTTGAGCCTTAGGGTATCTAGGGGGGGTTTAGAACCTACCTACTTTGTAGGGTTTGGGATTCGCAGGAAGGGTTTCGGGGCTCAAATCAGCGAACGGCCCATGTCAGTGGAGTCAGAGACCCCTAAACCCTAAACCCTAAACCCTACGCCCTAAACCCTCTAAACCCTAAACCCCATGTAGGGCCCCCCTTAGAGTTGTTCAGGTGAGCCAGATCCAGGATCTTACTGTGCGACAGCGAGGTGTGGCCTGATCAATAAACCTGAGGGGCTTTAGGCTTTAGGTTTGGGGTTTGGGGTTTAGGGTTTAGGGTTTAGGGTTTAGGATTTGGGGTTTAGGGTTTAGGGTTTAGGGCTCAGGTTTCTTTAGGGTTTAGGGTTGAGTACCAAGCGGACATGGCATCGCGTGTGTTATGAAGACATTGGCAGCGGCTGAGTGACACCAAGCACGTGCTAGGACAGTCAAGACAGACAATCCATGTCGTAACCCGGGTAGGCAAGCAGGCGCTAGTTCGTGAGCGGAAGCCCTAATCCTTAAACCGCAAACCTGAAACACTAAACTCTACAACTAGCGGATCAAGTCTACGGGGTCCCTGGCCAAGAAATGGATGAAAACGTTGAAGGCAGTGTTGTGGAGAACTCCACTTAGACTAGATAGAGACTTCAGGTCCGAAGTTTTAAGGGTTGAGGGCTCATTGTTTAGGGTCGGGACCCTCTCGGGTTTCCTCGGTTTACATGACATGTGCTTGTGCAATGTTGGATGGCTGTCTCGCTCGCTCTCTCTCACTCTCTCTCTCTCTCTCTGTCGCTCTCTCTCTCCCTCTCTCCCTCCCTCTCTCCCTCTCCCTCCCTCTTAAATGTGTGGGGTGGGGGTTTCCCTTTTGCAGGCCTTAGGGTTTGAGAGGTTAGGGTAAGGGTTTATGGCGCCTTTACGACTAATGTCAGCCCAGCGCCTTTTCGGACTCTTTGCTTCAGTTGTGTTGGCATAGAAATGTCCACCATCAACCCCAGACGCTGAATTCGAGACTCATATCCTAGGAGGCTCATGGGGTATTCCCGTGATACAGTGTACTTATAACCTGCTTAGGGGGGACTCAGGTAGCTTAGAGCCCCCAAAATTCCCGAACCCCGAAACCAGACGCCGGATCCGGTTTCCAGGCTTAAGTAGCGCAAACCGTAGGAGATCTTAAGGGTTAGGGTTTTGGGTTTTGGGGTTTAGGGGTTTAGGGGTTTAGGGTTTAGGTTTTAGGGTTTAGGGTTCGGACTTACCCTCCAGGGACCGAGAGGCAGGGGTTTCGGGCTTAGGCCCTGAAATGCTTTCAATATTCTTGTAGGGTTACAGTAGGGTTTAGGGTTTAGGGTTTAGGCTTTAGGGCTTACAGGGCATATTAGGGTTTATCGTTTGGTTTTTTCCCCGGTTTTCGAGCTGAGGGCTCTTGACGGTTTAGTGCCATGGCTGACTGGGACGCGGGCGCCGCGCCGCTTTTGAGCGTGGCGCTTGGGGTGGTCACCCTTCACTGCTTCACCGCTGGCAAGGAGCCTTGGGGTGTAGGGTTTAGGGCCATGCACAAGACACCAACCCTTAGAAGCCCGAAAGCCCACAAGATACAGACCCTGCGGCGACCGCGTTCACCCTTAAACCCCAGACCTGTCAGCCCCGGAACTCTTCTGGAACCACCGCTTTCTTCGGTTCTGTAGCTTTGTGCGAGAGGTGGGTGTGGGGGAAGTGATATCACCGGGTTTAAGGGTTTAGCATGGTTTAAGGCTTAGGGCTTTGGGCTTCCGCAGGTTCAGGTCAGTTAGGGTGGTTTTTGGACGAGGGCTCAGCAGCCCTAAACCGAAAGAAGTCCAAGTGGAGATATATGTACGGGGAGACAAGGACCCACTTAAAATAAAGGTGCAACCTTCAGGATCGTTTTTCTCAGCGATACATACTCACGACGATCCAAGTGGCGTTTCGGGCTTCAGCTTCGGGTAGTGATGAAGATACAGGTTTTTCCTTGTCAAGCTCAACGAATTTTATCGGGCGTTTCATCAGGGCTTTAGCGTCTTCGAACTTTTGGAGGGCGTTCGGGCTTGAAGGTTGGGGGTCTTTTGGCTTTTAGGGTCATCCCCTCCCCCCCACCGCCCCGAAACCCCAAACCCCAAACCCTAAAACCCAAACCCCAAACCCGAAACCCTAAACACCCCCCACGCTCGCCTGGAGGACCTGTGGGCCATGGCACAGCAGCTGTCCAGAAGCCTCGCCGGTGCCAGGACCGACCATCTGACCCCGGGGGGCGTCAACTCCTGACACCTTTACTGACCATAAGGGGTTTAGGGTTTAGGGTTTAGGGTTTCGGGTTTCGGGTTTAGGGTTTAGGGTTTAGGGTTTAGGTCCCAAACCCCCTACATGGCGGAACAACTCTCTAAGGGGCGCTACGTGGGTCTCTGATATGGGCAGGCCTCGAATCTAGGGTTTTGTAAACCCTCTTCCTGTGGCTCACCAAAGCCCTACAAAATTAGTGAGGCTGGGATGTAGTCCTTGATAAGGATGGAAAAGGATGAGAATGGGGGGTACTATAATCCCTATTAAGGACTGTTAGTAGAAGTGGGAAGATCCCAATAGCAAGGTTACAACCCCCTAAATATCGGGCCGACCCCCCCCCCAAAAAAATAAAAAGTAAAATAGGCGGTCAACAGAGCTCCAGGGATGCCCTAAAAACCCCCAGGCTTAGGGTTTAGGGTTTAGGGTTTAGGGTTTAGGGTTTAGGGTTTAGGGTTTAGGCTGTATGGTGTAGGGTTACACCTTCAAGCCCACAGAACCCAGCCCCCAATCGCAACCGAAGCAGTTCACAGGCAGCCTGAACCCCAAAATCCCCAAGGGGTTCAACGCTAACCCCTAAACTTTAGCCCTAAACCCTAGACCCTAAACCCCTAACCCCTAACCCCTAAACCCTAAACCCTAAACACTAATTTATAGCCTAAACCCTAATCAATACCCTAAACTCCACCCTTGAGGGGTTGAGGGGGTTCTGGGCAGGGCCTCTTTGCGCGCCAGGCCGTGTGCATCTTGAGCCCGAAGCAAGGGTAGGTTTTGGGGGGGTGGGTTTAGGGTTTAGGTTCCTGAGCTGAGGGTTTAGGGTTTAGGGTTTAAGGTTTAAGGTTTAAGGTTCAGGGTTTAGGGTTTAGGGTTTAGAGTCTAGGGTTTAGGGGATATCTCATATTCTCCCGTATTTGGTCTATGTCTTAGGGGTTAGGGTTTACGAGGAGCATGATCAGGCATGTGCAGGTGCTTCAGAAGGTTTACGGGGGCCAACCGAGTGGCTTTCCGGTTTAATTAAGGTTGAGGGTTTAGGGTTTAGGGTCCTGAACCCTAAACCCTAAACCCTAAACCCTAAACCCCCTAAACCCCCTAAAACCCCTGCAAAGCACTGAGAGTTTGAGGACCGGCGAAGGCAAGTCCGACGTGTCTGGGCGCCTGGATGCAGCCATGGAGCGACTGCGCGAGGACGTTTGGGGTCTTTAGGGTTTCCGGTTTAGGGTTTAGGGTTTAGGGTTGAGGGTTTAGGGTTTAGGGTTTAGGGCTTGGGGCTTTCTATTTTGTGATCTCTTGAAGCCTCAACTCTGACATGCTTCGCTATTTCTTCTTCTTGCTCTTCTTATCTTCATACCTTTTTTGGTGGGGGTGTCTTTAGTCTAGCGATCCTTGAAGGAAACCAGCTAATGGTGAAATAGTGTGTGTTTCCTGCATCTTAGTACAAACGTCTGCAAACTGTGCAGGGTTCAATAGGGTGGGTATGAGGTTGCTGAGTTGGTGGGTTGGAGTAAATGACAAGCTGGTGACATGAAGGTGCATGGGCAGCTAGAGGTTCGCGTTGCGCCTTCATAGTGGGGTTATTCCTAGAGTTGAGAAGCCCGTCTAATGGGGTTTCCACACCACTTTCGAGGACAGCTTCATGCTCAGCTACCGCATGTTCCAGCACGCGCGGGCACTCAGATTCAGAGAGCCCTCCTTTGGGGATAACATGATGTTCGCTATAGATGAGTGTACTTGTGTTACAGGTGGTTGAGTTGTGCTGTCTTGAATTTGCGCTCCCTAGACCTGTCCTTTCCAGAGCATGTCACATTGCACTGTGTATGGAAAGAGCGGCTCGGGGTTTAGGGTTTAGGGTTTAGGGTTTAGGGTTTAGGGTTGAGGGTTGAGGGTTTAGGGTTTAGGGTTTAGGGTTTAGGGTTTAGGGTCCTCAACCAGTCGTGCAAGCCCAGAAGTATGCCCACAGTCCATGGAAGACGGGTCAAGGCCAACACAGCAGGCGCTGAACCCCGGACTAAACCAGAAAGCAACAACATGGCCTACGCAGCCCACGTACCTAACTTCCTTCAAAGAAGTTGCCGGAAGAAAAAAAATCGGATTCTTAGCTTTCGATCCTTTTTCTGGTAGTGATCCTTTTTCTGGTAGTTCTTTTGTAGCAACTCAGTTTTTCCTTGACAGTCCCAAGCCCAACTGCGTGTGGTTTAGGCTGTCAGCTGAGTTTCTGAGCTGCAGGATTCTGAAACCGAGTCTCGCTTTTCGGGGCTAAGAATTTGGGGTGTAGGTTTCAGCAGTCGAGCTGTTCGCTAATGGAATTGGAATGGGTTGGTCCCCCGTGCACCATAACTGCCCATGAACCCTAAACCCTAAAGCACTAACGCCCTACACCCCGTAAACCTCTAAACCCCTAAAGCCCTAAAACCCTAACGTCCTAAAACCCCTAATGCGATCCCAAAGCCCTAAAAAACCTAAACCCCTAGAACCCTAAAACCCTCCAAAACCCTAAAACCCTAAACCCCTAGAACCCGCAAGGTGATGGCGCTGTCGCTGGTCGTGTCACCCATGGCATACCGCGCCGATCCCACCCTCGCCTTCTTCTTGATGCTCGGGGCTCAGGGTTTCCCTACATTTTTTTGTTTGGGGGGGGTTTAGGGTTTAGGGTTCAGGGTTTAGGGTTTCGGGTAGAGGGTTTAGGGTTTAGAGTTTGGGATTGAGACTCGCACCCCTAAGTTTGTACCCCTAAAGGTTCCCCTCAGTAATATGGGCATTGCACTACGTTAAGGATCTTTGCAAAGGTTCCCTGAAACCCAAGGGTAGAAACCCTCAGGGCCCAAGCTACATCCCCTAGAGTTTAGGGTGTACAGGGGCTTAGGTTGCGGGAATCTCACAACGGCTGCGTGTCGTAGGCCCTAAACTTTAGGTGACCTTCCCTATATGGTATGACGACTGTTTGCAAGCAACCTAACCCAAACCCTACACCTTGGTCAGGGGTTCAGGCTTTAGGGTTTCGGGGCAGTTCTTCTCCCTAAACCCTAAACCCTAACCCTAAACCCTAAACCCTAAACCCTAAACCCTAAACCCTAAACCGGCGACATATCCCCATCCACCTCAGCTCAAGGAGGCGTTGCCACCGTGCAACCCCCTGGGTTTGGGCTGTATAGGGTTTAGGCTTTTGGGTTGAGGGTTTACCCCTCGCAACCCTAAACCCTAAACCCTAAACCCTAAACCCTAAACCCTAAACCCTAAACCCTAGACCCTAAACCCTAAACCCTAAACCGCGCACCACTGGGGCTCCGTGGCCAGGTGTTCCTGCAGCTTGGCGTACGTGATGAACAAGGTTCTGGTTTACAGGGCCCCACGGCTCTCAGCCAGGCGCGGGGGTTTCCGAAAATCGGGGACCCCCAATAGAGATCCCCAAATCATCGTAGGACTCCCTTATAATAAGTACCTCAGTAAGGTACCCCTCCTAATTTCGGAAACCCTCTAAACCCCTAAACCCCAATCGCCTAAGCACCCTAAACCCCTAAACCCCCAGGTACCTGCGAGCCCTTTTCATTTGCTTCTACCTGGTGGTCACCCTGCTTACCGCATGCCCATGGATGGCGAACACGAGCCTGGGCTCGGGTGGGAGAAGTTGCGCTTACTTTCTGTTTAGGGTTTAGGGCTTAGGGCTTAGGGTTTAGGGTTTAGGGTTTAGGGTTTAGGGTTTAGGGCAGCTTTCTCTTACAGAACGTTCGAAAAGGGCTTCAGGGCTCCCTAAACCCTAAACCCCAAAACCTAAAACCTAAACCCTAAACCCTAAACCCTAAACCCTAAACCCTAAACCCTAAACCCTAAACCCTCAGCTCAGGAACAGGAATGTGCAGATGTTCTTGGCGGCCTGTGAGTTTTCTGCCGCCGTTTGCTTCGTCGACTGCAGGGTTCCTAGGACCCGGAGTCGGCGCTGATTTCCTTTTTTTAGGGTTGGGGGGGGGGGGGGGGGGGGGGAGGATTCCCTTGTAATCCCCCCTTCGGAAACCAAAAAAGGGTTCCTAGGTTACTCCGGAGTGTAGCCCTAAACCCTAAGCCCTAAACCCTAAACCCTAAACCCTAAAGGTTCACATTGCCGGCCAAGTCGGCATCCTCTTGGCTGAAGGGAGTCGGCAAGTCTCTCCTGGTGGCACGGGGTGTGGCATCGAAGCTTAGGGGCACTTGGAATTGTTTTTTGGGTTTTGGGTTTAGGGTTTAGGGTCTAGGATTTCCTAAGAAACAGCATAAACATTCATTTTTGCCGGGGTTCCAAGTTCAGTATAGGAAGCCCTCCTCAGTCAAGCAATGGTTACTTGGCAAGCGCCTTGGGATTTTTTTAGGTTCCCCGAATTATTGGGTTTAGGAGGATCATTGGTTACTTGGTAGGCGCCTTGGGACATTTTTGTTGTTCCCTTATTGGGCTTAGGAGGATCACATTCAGGATGTGTTTTTTCTGAAGGTTTTAAGGGCCACGCTAGGTTAGTATGGCGGTGAGTATGGCCTCCCTTGTTTTGGAAAGCATCCTCCGACAGCGCTTGGAAGCAGATCTGCAACGGGCGGACGCCGAGTCCATCGTCGCCGGCTTCCGGGCGGTTCTGCGAGGCGTTTGTGATGGTGAGCTCCTCTTGGATGGAGATCTGAATATCCAGGAGGGAATGAGCTGTCTCAGCCGCCTACTCTCCACCCAGGAAGATTTGAAAGGCAAGCCCTTTGTGGACTTGCTGGCCCGAAGCGAGCAGGATCGAGGCTTCGAGGAATTTGCGCACAGAGAGTCCGACAGCGGACACAGCATTCACTGGGTGCCTGCGTGCCAACGCATTTCCTTCAAGAACTTCGGCAGCTTTTACTTAAGCAGCTTTGAGAAGAGCTTCCTACACACCTAAATCCTTCTTCCTCCAGAACCCAGCAGCAGCCAAGGAATGCCCAGATTGGGCATATCGGCGTGGACGCGTTCCATGTGCCCTTACCGCACCTCCATGGCTGCGATGTCGCCTATCACCTCGTGGTTTTGAAGAAGCTGGGCGGGTTTAGAGTTTTGGGTTTAGGGTTTAGGGTGTTGGGTTTTGGTTTAGGGTTTTGGGTTTAGGGTTAAGGGTTTAGGGTTCATGCAGTTGTTAACGCAGCAGCCTAAATAATGTCCCAAAGTACCCATTAAAGATTAGATGTGTTTTTTGCGCCAGTGCCTAGGGATTTAGGGTTTAGGATTTCGTTTCAAGGTACCATAAAAATGGGAATGATATTCTGAAACGTATGTCCATTGTCTGGCACCTAAAGCCTTGAAGCCACAACAGCTGACCCCAACCCCTAAACCCTAAACCCCAACCCTAAACCCCAAACCCTAAACCCTAAATCCTGAACCCTAAACCCTAAACCCTGAGGCTGGACCCGGAGTATCCCATCCATGCAGCTTCCCAAGTCGCACCGCCATTGGACCTGGCACCGGGCCCACTTGAAGGTCCGTGGGTAGTGGGGTGGTTATAATAAGTAGGGTTTTTAGTGCTGGGTTTAGGGTTTAGGGTTTTGGGTTTGGGGTTTTTGGGGTTTGTGGAAGTTTGTGGATTAGGGCTATTGCTGGGGTTATATCTAAGGCAGCTACAGACAAGCCAGGTATAACTTCATGACCCTTCTTTGCAGTGCTTACAATTACAGCTCTACCTGTACGTACGGCCCTTCAAGTAGACTTAACCCTAAACCCTAAACCCTAAACCCGAAAGCCTAAACCCTAAACCCTAAACGCCAAGTGGCCCGAAGCCGCCCTGGCCAGGACAGCTCGCCTCAGCCACGTCTGACCCGTCGGAGTCCATCAAGAGTTTTTCAGGCTCAACTGGTTTAGGGTTCAGGGTTCAGGGTTCAGGGTTCAGGGTTCAGGGTTTAGGGTTTAGGGTTTAGGGTTTAGGGTTTAGGGTTTAGGATCCTTGGGTCCAGGTTTTGGGGAGCTTTTCAGGCTCGAGCTGTCAGTTGAGGATTCAGGGTGTAGGGTTTTGGGTTTCGGGCCCTACCGAACCCTAAACCCTAAACCCTAAATCTTAAACCCTAAACCCTAAACCCTAAACTGCCCTAAACCCTAAACACCCATGAACCTCCAAGTAGGGCCTACAGGGCTTGGGGGTTGTAGGCCCCTTTCAGGCGGGTTAATATTCCCCCATATAACCCGATATGTAACTCTAAGTTCCCTAATGTAGAGAACTGCCCCGAAAATACCTTAATACCTTAAACCCTAAACCCAAAAAGGGAGCGTGATTTCGATAACTTCCCGATTGAAAACTTACGAAGCCCTCAACCAGAAGGCCTCCGCGAGATCCTTTTTCTGGTCAACCAGAATGCGCGGATGGACGTCCGACAGGCACCTGAGTCTGAGATGGGTTTGAAGGGTTTAGCGTTTGGGGTTGGGGAGGAGCATCTTGGCAGTTTGTGGTTTATATAGGGGGTTAGGCACCATGGCGACCTTGCATGAAACCCATATCAGGGTGTGTGCCGCTGGGATCTAACGTTTTCGAGATTCAGGGGAAGAGAGTTTGGGTGACCCGGGTGGGAGGTTAGGGTTTAAGGCTTAAGGTCAAGGGGTTGACAGTTGGGGGTGTTTGTGATTCTAGGCTTCGGGGTTTCCGGTTACAGGTAGGCAGCTTCCCTTCTAAAAACCTTTGAGAACAAGAACGGGCTCTATCTTCTCCCAGGGACCGATGGAACCCGTCCCAATTTAGTACCCTGTACTGCATTTTGGCGACTAGTGTGTGGGAACACCCCAACGAGGTCGCTAGCTTGGGGTTTTATGGCAGTTGGCCTCGGGTGGCTTTCAAAAATCTTCCGCATGTTGTAAACCCTAAATCCTAAATCCCAAACCCTAAACAACCCTAAATCTGAGACCGCCGAATCCAGATCTCAGCCATTCCCCAACCCACTCATTAAAAGCAACGAGGCTAAACCCTCCACATCCTACACACCCTAAACCCTCTAGACCCTATACACCCTATCAACTCCAAATCCTGTCGTCCCCAAAAAGCCCAGTACTGCTATGAACCCTATAAACAAACCCTAAAGGTCCATGTGCCTCATGTTTTACATAAAGGTGCCCCAAAGTCCCTAACAAAAGGTACGTTAAGGCACAAGTATTCCCTATTCAGGTAAATGCTTGGAGAACTCCTAAAGCCTAAATACCCTAAACCCTAAACACCCTAGACACACTAAACCCCCTAAACCCTAACCCCTAAACCCTAAACCCTAAACCCTAAACCCTAAACCCTAAACCCTAAACCCTAAACCCTAAACCCTAAACCCTAAACCAGGTCCACCTGAACTACAAGGAGGCTGCGGAGAGCCAGGGCTCCCAAGATCCCGGCCTCACGCTGCAGGAGAGGGCAAGGGGGTGCAAACTGGTAGGGGTTTAGGGTTTAGGGTTTAGGGTTTAGGGTTTAGGGTTTAGGGTTTAGGGTTTAGGGTTTAGGGGTCTACTTGGAGGGCTTCAGGGGGGATGCAAGCCGGCGTTTCCATCCTAAAGGGGGTTTAGGGTTTAGGGTTTTAGGGTGTAGGGTTTCGGGTTTCGGGTTTAGGGTTGACGGTTGAGGGTTTAGGGTTTAGGGTTTAGGGTTTAGAGGTCGGTAGGTTCAGGGGTTCGGGTTTGGGGTGTAGGGTTTCTACTGCAGGGTTCGACGGCTCATGTGTTGGTGTGTAGACTGTTTGTTCCTGGAAGGCTAGTTTATTTTAGTTGGTGCTTTCTGAAAGAAAAAGGGGTCGTAAGTTGGGATGTTCCCAATGCATTATACTAGCAGTCCTCACTAGGGATTGTAGTACCCCGTATTATTCCCTATTAAGGACTGTTAGGATAAGCGGCAACATCCCAAGTCATAAACATCAGGAAAGTCCTAAGAGTGCTCCAAGAAGAGTTCGGATTCTGACTGGGCTACACGTTTTTGATTCGCCAGTGCTTTCGGGCTCTTCGGGCTTAGGGCTCAAGGCTTAGCAGGTCCGTAGGTAGTCGTAACCGGGGCTTCACTGTACTTGTCACGTACACCCTAAACCCTAAACCCTAAACTCCCTAAACCGTAAACTCCCTAAACCCTAAACCCTAAACCCAAGGATTTAGGGTTAGGGTTTAGGGGTTAGGTTTAGGGTCAGGGTTCAGATCTCCTAAACACCCTTGAAAAAAAATCATTGCAGCCCACAACGCTTCAACAGGTCCGGGGACCCTTCAAAACCCTGCGAAACACCCATGAAGGCCCTGTACTAGGCTGTCCTTTTGGGATATGTTGATTTCAAAAGGGTCCTAGGAATCTTGTTCAGAGGGTTCTGAGAGCCATGCTAGCTTAACACCCTCAACCCTAAAATCCTGAACCCTATGACCTAAACCCTAAACCCTAAACCCGACACCATAAACCCTAAACCCGAAACCCCTGGGCAGAAGCTGATCCAGCCCAGCGACTGGTCGACCGTACGCTCTTGCGTGCAGTCTTTCGGCCGGGTTCCGGAGGAGAGAGGTCTCGGGGCTCTTTGACCTTGGGGGTTAAGAGGGTTTAGGGTTTAGGGTTTAGGGCTAGGGTTCTTTTGGGGTTCCGGGGATGTACCTATAGGGTTGAGGGTATAGGGTTTCGGGTGTGGGGGGTTGGTATCTTTTAGGATTTTGGAGATGTACCTAGTCCTTAATTTAGGGATTCTAATCGAATAGGGGGTACTTTCGTCCCATGAAGGAGCTGGTAGTATAAGGGAGAACATCCCAACCTGCAGAGTTAGGGTTTAGGGTTTAGGGTTTAGGGTTTAGGGTTTAGGGTTTAGGGTTTAGGGTTTAGGGTTTAGGGTTTAGGGTTTAGGGTTTAGGGTTTAGGGTTTAGGGGCTGAAGGGTATCTGGAGAGGAGCGGATGCCCAGCATTTCCGTCCGCATGATCGATCGCCCGACGGAGTGGCCAGGCATGCAGTGCAAGCTTCTTCCATCAGCCTCAGTAGCCCTAAACCCTAAACCCTAAACCCTAAACCTTAAGCCCTAAACCTTAAGCCCCACTCTGGGAAGCTGGGGCCATTTTCGGCACCCTGACCTGTGAGGAATCTGTTATTTTTCAGGGTGTTAACAACAACCACACCCCCCCCCCTCCCCCAGCATGGGCATGCAGAACTTTGAACTAGAACATGTAGCTGAGACGCTAGTGGCTAAGAACTGCCTTATCTATGCGGTTTTCTGCGTGCCCATGCTTCGAAACTTGTACAGCGCACGGGTGCTTATGATGCTTTTAAGCAATGAAGTTCCTGGTGCTTTGGTAGCCGGCTGCAAGTATGCAGTTTATTTTGCACTATGCCGTCATGTTTTTGCTGGTTTTGGGGTTTAGGTGTAGAGTTCAGGGCGGGAACACGCCGTGGCATCAGGTTAAAGCTGCCAGAGCCACACACAAAATAGCGACACAATGGGTACTTTGATCCACATCACAACGTCATGATTGCGATCCTGCCCAGAGTTTATAAAAGCTAGGAGACCCAGTGAGTGCCCCCCCCACCCCCCCTGCAAGATAGCCCCTCCATGGAGTTCGGATCTCTTACAAGGGCCACTCTTCCAGTTTCCCTGCACAAAATAGCCCCCTAATCAGGCTTACCCTAGGGCTCCAAGCATACAAATCATGCCTACATTCGGGTCTAAAGTTTGTAAATAATACCTACTTTGGGCTATTTGGAGCCTTAGGGTTAAGTTGAGTCTTATTGTGAGGAGCGGGTTGTCACAGGGGGAAGCACCATGGAGAGCTCCGTGATTGGACTACCGCGTTGGGATGTTCCCCCTTATACTAACAGTGCTAAAAAAGAAAGGGATTCTAATAGGGGGTATTCGAATCCCTCTTAAGGACCGTTAGTATAAGGGGGAACATCCCAACTGCCGAGGTATGTGCAATGTCGCCATGCTATGCTGAAGACATACCCGTCAGATGCCCGGTACCTTTGCCTACACCTGCGCGGCTTCAAGCAGAGACGCTTACCGTTTTATGAGCTGGGATTGCGGGGCTCTTTGCTTTCACCCTTCAGCCCCTACATGATTGCTTGGCAAGTGAACCTGAAACCCTAAACCCTAAACCCTAAACCCAATAGCACTGTTCCTTGATTCAGGTTACCTTTGTCAGGGATTTGCGTCCATGTACTCTTTGTTTGGGATCTCTTCAAGTGTTTGTATGTACAAGCATAACCCCACCAAAACCTGACAAAAACGCAACAAAACCTGACAAAAGCCCAACAAAACCTGACAAATGCATCATCTGAAAAAACACATAATCGCCATCAGTGAAGGCAATTTCTCGTCGCACAAATCACACTGAGGGTGCTTTCAGACATCAGTCCAAGTCGGACATCGGGTGTGCAAACCTGGGCCAGCAGTGTTCGGAGCACTACAGCCTGACATTTTCCCACTGCAGCCTGACCTTTTCCCACCCTTTCATTGATAACTACATCCTCACATTTTGTGGCCTCAACCTGACCTGACCTAACATTTCCCACCCTTTCCCCACTACAATTCCCACCAAAACCTGACATTTTTCCCAAAACCTGACATTTTCCAACTAAAACCTAAAATTTTCCCACCAAAACCTTAAAAAAAACCCACTAAAACCTAAAAAAACCCCACCAAAACCTATTTTTCCCACTAAAACCTAATTTTTCCCCACTTTTCGGTCGTGGCTCAGGCACGCCAAAATAAACGTAGACTTGAGTTTAAAGCGGAACGAAATGCTGCCCTTTTTTCGAGCACTCCCACTTTTCGGCCGGGTGGATGAGCAAGCAGCATAGGCCATGGAGATCGAAGAGCCATTCCAGACTGCTGGGTTTAGGGTTTAGGTTTGACGACACCATCGAAATCCCAAAACTACCTTGGGAGGGAATATGTCAGGTTTTTCCGGTTTGTGACAACTCGTTTTTTCATGTGAAGAGTACCCTTTTTGAAAGGCACAACATGAACATCTAAGACTTTGCAGACAATCCCCAAAGCCTAAGCAGCAGTTTAGCCGTTCCATTCCTGTGTTTAGGGTGGTTAGGGTTTTGGGTTTAGGGTTCAGGCTGGAGAAGTAACGGCTACACATTCCCAATGCTACGAGTTTGTAGAAACATGCTGTTAGTCTTGCGACTCACGTGCTGCTGAAATAGCGACTACGATAGACCCCCAAACATGAACGTACACATTTCCAGTATCAAGAAGCTGTCAACCCTAAACCCTAAACCCTAAACCAGTGAGGAAAGGAGCCGCGCTTGGGCAGCGCCATGGCCGACCTCGGCGAAGCAGAAGACTGAAGTGATCGACAGCCACACTGGAATTCCCTTCCAGAGCTTGTAAGGGTTTGGGTTTAGGGTTTAGGGTTTAGGGTTTAGGGTTTAGGGTTTAGGGTTTAGGGTTTAGGGTTTAGGGTTTAGGGTTTAGGGTTTAGGGTTTAGGAGTTTAAGGCTTAGACTAGGCTTGGGGTCCATAATTCGGGTGCACCCCTAGGCCTTGAACCTCTGAACCTTTAGACCGTAAACCTGTGAAGCCCTAAACCACCTAAACCCCCTGATGCTCGAAGCCGTCGAGGGCTGCGTGAGTTTTCCATCTTCAGCTTCGCAAAGTGCGGAGCCACCTACCATGCCTTTGAGAACATGTCTCGGGTGGCGCTTCGCAGCAAATCGGGGTTTGGGTTTTAGGGCTTTTTGGGATTTTAGGGCTTAGGGTTTTTAGGGCGTGGAGGGTTTAGGGTGAAGGGTCGTACCCCCAAGGATAGTAGAAATTTACAGGACTTCCCTACAGAAGGCATGCCTTATTTTCGGAAACACCCCTAAACCCTAAACCCTAAACCCTAAACCCTAAACCCTAAACCCTAATCCCATGTTGAGGTTGGGGGGTTTTCCAGGCTTAGTGGGCCTTGAGGGGGCTGCGGCTTTAGGGCCAAGACTGTAAATTTCATCTCGGTATGCCCTGTAGAGTTTTTTTCTCCGGGGAGCCCGATACTACTCAAGTCCGGAATACCTGTGACTCCCATAATAGTAGGTTGGAACCCCCTAAGTTTTTTGGGCATCACCCCGAACAATAGTAGGTAAATGGAGCCCCAGGTATGCCTTGTAAGGGTCCTAGAACTTTTCACGTAGGTGGATTTAGCACCCTTCGGGGGTGTTCGGCTTTGTACTACAGGGCCCTAATAATCAGAATAGGGCTTTGGGGGCGTGATTATCGTAAAGTTATATAGGGACGACACGGGAAAATGAGTACTTATTCCGATCCCTGTATCAGGAGCCTCAGTTTCACACCGGCAAGATTTTTCAAGAGCCCACTTCGCGGAAGAGCTCCGCAGTGTCCCGCGTAAGCCTCTGGGCGGGTTGTTTTTTTGGCAACATCCCTCAGTACCCAAGTGTCCATGTACCTCATTACATGAGCCTACAGCCCCCATGTAGGAACTACTTTGAGGCACAAGTATCCCCTATACAGGTGCACGGACACTTAGGGAATCTTGCTCTATTTAACGTCCGATGTAGCGTGCCCGCGTGACGCGTAAAAGGCTCCGGTGCGTTCTGGCAGATTTGCCAGCCTTCAAGCTGCACCTGAGCTCTCACCTTGCAGCGCTAAACCCGAAACCCCGAAACCCGAGTTAAATCCTAAACCCTAAACCCTACAATCCTGCTTGAAGGATGTGTATTTAGTATCTAACTCTGCACATCTACCGATCTACGCACCCTCAAGCAAGCCCTGCACGGTTTGTGACCTGCGGGTGCTAGGTCTGGGGGCTTGAGGGTTTAGTGTTGAGAGTTGAGGATTGAGGGTTTAGAGGGCTTCGGGCAGCTGACCTGGGAGGCTGGCGATGGTGCGACTTCGACATTGCAAGCTCCTGGAAAAAAAGTTTGGTTCAGGGGTTCCGGGGCTACCTAAACCCCCTAAACCCCCTAAACCTTAAAACCCACAACCCCGAAACCCTGGCCCCAAACCTAGACCCCTAAGCCCTAAACTTCAGGCTTAATGTGCTGCCTGCTCTTTACAAGGTAGGCCCAATTGGGATGTTTCATCTGTTTCTTTCTTTGGGTCTAAGAGGATTATAATTTTGGGAACATGGCGGTTTTCCGAAAAAGCTGTACCATTTTGGGGGGTCCCATCCCATTCTATTTGGGGCATACAAGGGGTACCCCTATTTTGGAAAACCCTAAACCCTAAACCCTAAACCCCTATTTTGGGAAACGCCCACATCTTTTCAGCTTGTTTTCAGGGCAAGCCCGGGGTTGTTTTCCTTGGGAGGTTCTTTGGCCCCATAGGCTTAGTTTTAGGGTTTAGGGTTTAGGGTTTAGGGTTTAGGGTTTAGGGTTTAGGGTTTAGGGTTTCAACAGAAGTTGTTGTCCTATTTTCATTCCCGACCTACGGGGTAAACCATCAAGGCGTAAACCTGAGCCCCTCTAATCCCCCAACCCCCCTTCAAACCCTAAACAAATAAACCCCGAAACCCTTCAACACTAAAACCCCAGAACCCTACTTTCAAAACCTGGGGGACCTGGTAGGGCTCCCTTTACCTGCTGTGTGGAGGGATCTGTTGAGGGTTTGGGGTTGAGGGTCTAGGGTTTAGGGTTTAGGGTAGGGGGTCGGTCAATCCAAGGGTAGTTAGTTACATGGGCCTTAACATGGTCCCTTACCTCCTTTAAAGGGTTCTGAAGTATGGGCCCTTGGATTGTATGGGGTATATAAGGGGTCCCCTTTTTAACGGCCCATATTATGGGACCTAAGCCTTAAACCTCTTTCATCCATTAGAAGCCCTAAAGCCTAAACCCCTAAACCCTAAACCCTAAAACCCTAAACCCTAACCCTACCTCAACCGTAAACCCAAACCCTACACCCTCTAAAGCCTGCAGTCCTTAAACACCCTAAAAGGTAGGGTTGGCAATATAGGGGTCGAAATAATTACAAACAGCATTCCCTTATGGCCCCTTAATTAACAAACATACTATACTCACCCCTCCAAACCCTTGTTTTAATCATTAAGGTCCCTATATGTGAGTTTACGAAAATCAGTCCCTTACAATCACAACCCCGATAAGGTACCCCTAATTGCGGAAACCCCCAACCTTAAACCTTAAACCTTAAACCCGAAACCCTAAACCCCAAGCCCTAAACCTTAAACCCCTAATCTCGGAAACCCCCCCCCCCCCCCCATATTAGGGCTTTCGGAGTTTGCGGGGTCTGGCGCTGCCTTCCCCGAAATCCTTCTCTGAGCCTTTGGACGCCTATCTCGCGGTTTCGCATTGAAGCAACCCGAAACCCTAAACCCAAAACCCTACACCCTAAACCCTAAACCCTGAGCCTCCTCACCTCCGAACCCGAGTGCTCTGAAGCTTGGAAAAACCCCTTGCGCGTTTCATTGGGCGCGAAAAGTTGCAGGGGGACGGGCGGACGGGCTCGCTGTTTTCCGGAGGGTTGCAGGGTACCCTAAGCCCTAAACCCTAATCCCTAAACCCCAAATAGTTCACCCCATATGGACCCAGCAGTCTCCATCTCGACCCAAAAACCTCCCCCCACTCCATCCCTCAGCCCCAAAACCCTCAAACCCAAGCCCTAGTGGGGCTTATCATAGTATATTTATACAGGGGCAATAAGGGAATACTATTAGTAATTTTTAATTTTTCCGACCCCCATACTACGCCCGTGGCAATCCCTAAACCCTAAACCCTAAACCCTAAACCCTAAACCCTAAACCCTAAACCCTAAACCCTAAACCCGCGAAGGAATGTGCTGCTGGTGCCCAACCACTCAAGTCGACTTGCTAGCTGCCACCCGGCTCTTATGCCTCCCTTGGCCTGGGCTCCTGGAAGTTTCGGGGTTTAGGGTTTAGGGTTTAGGGTTTAGGGTCTAGGGTTTAGGGTTTAGGGTTTAGGGTTGCAAAGCAAGCAGAGCTTAGGGTCCAGGGTTCCCGGAGCCCTGAAAAGGGGTTTGGGGGTTTTAGGGTTTTAGGGTTTTCGGGTTTTCGGGTTTTAGGGTTTTGGGGTTTTAGGGTTTTAGGGTTTTAGGGTTTTAGGGTTCTAGGGTTTTAGGGTTTTAGGGTTTTAGGGTTTTAGGGGGTTTTTAGGGGGGTTTTTAGGGTTTTAGGATTTAGGGATTTAGGGTTTTAGGGTTTCAGGGGTTTTGGGTTTTCGGGTTTTAGGGTCAATAGAGGACCCTGAGGGTGCTAATTGTGCCCTGCGCAACTGAGCTTAACCCCAAAACCCTAAAGCCCCAAAAACTCTACACCCTAAAGCTCTAAAACCCTAAAAGCCTAAATCCTAAAGCCCTAAACTCTAAAAACCCACAAGCCCTAAACCTACCCTACGGGTTGAAACGCGTCCCTAGACGCCTTGGTATGCGAGTTGTTCTCCGTTCAGGGTTTCGTGTTCAGGGTGCAGTGTTTAGGCTTAAGAGGGTTTAGGGTTAAATTACCTTAATTAATTAGCCCCAAAAGTAGCCTTAATTCTGGGGGGAGCCTAGGGGGGTAGCGTAAAGGGTGGTGAATAGGGTTTAGGGTTGAGGGTTGTTCGGGTTCACGGGACCCCTATAGAACGCCTGAATTTCGGAGCCCCAAAACTCTTATCCACCAACTGCAGGTGCAAGGGTCTTTAGGGCTTAATTAGGGGTTTGGGACGTCAGGATTTGGCCTAGCCCTAAACCCTAAACCCTAAACCCTAAACCCTAAACCCTAAACCCTAAACCCTAAACCCTAAACCCTAAACCCTAAACCCTAAACCCTAAACCCTAAACCCTAAACCCTACCAAGCCCAGGACAACGAGACCAACCCGGAGGTCACCTTCCTCCTTCCGCACTCGGACGCGCTGGTCGTGGCTTGCCTGGCCAAGAGAGCTCGACTAAACTAGGTAGGGTTTAGGGTTTAGGGTTTAGGGTTTAGGGTTTGGGGTTTGGGGTTTAGGGTTTAGGGTTTAGGGTTTAGGGTTTAGGGTTTAGGGTTTTAGCCTAACCTGTGACTCCCAAACCCTACGAAATAGTAGGCTGTAACCCCCTCAATTTAGGGCATCACCCCCAGAATTCTAGGCAAACGGAGCCAGAGGAACCCCGTGCATTGGCTTTAGCCTTGGCTGAGGATGGCGCGTGCCTTCTTGTTTCTACAAAGCATTTCGCTTTAAGCTGGTGTTGCGCGCAGCGAGGTTCTAATTTACTCTTCTAAACTAGGTAGGTTTAGGGTTTAGGGTTTAGGGTCTAGGGTTTAGGGTTTAGGGCTTAGGGCTTAGGGCTTCGGGCTTAGGGCTTAGGGCTTAGGGCTTAGGGCTTAGGGCTTAGGGCTTAGGGCTTAGGGCTTAGGGTCTAGGGCTTCTAAACCAGGTAGGCCCTTACGACATTTTTCTTACGTTCCCTTATTGGGTTCAGGAATATTTTCAGGGCCATGCAAGTAAAGTGCGTAGCTTACGGCTCACTTCAAAGTTTGGATCGCCACGTGCTAAACGCTCCTTTTAAGTTGAAATTTTAAGCTTTGCAAGTTAGACTTTGGGACGTTTAAGTCCTATTATTTCTTAGCTGTATCTGGGTTACTTAGTTTTTATTTTTAATTGTCTAAGGGAAGGTACGTGGTCCTTTCATAAGGTCCCTGACCTCCTCTAAGGGGTTCTGATGTGTGTGCCCCTGGGTTGTTAAGGATTCATAAGGGTCATAAGGGGTAATTAAGGAGTCCCCTTTAAGGGCCCATACTAACGGACCATGTAACTACCCTGAGAATCTGGTTTAGGGCTGAATAAACCCTGAACCCCCTAACCTACCCTAAACCCTAAACCCTAGGCCCTAAACCCTAAACCCTCTCTAGGGTGAGCATTTCTTAGCCCCAATAAGAGAGAGTCGAGGTGGAGCGGATGCTCCGAGATGCCATGGAGGCCAACTCATCAGGCTCCTTGTTCAGGTTTAGGGTTTGGGGTTTAGGGTTTAGGGTTTAGGGTTCATGTTTTAGGGTTCAGGTTTGAGTGTTTCAGAGGTTCGAAGGGCTTGGAGTTTTTGGTGGTTTTGGGGGGGTTTGGGTGTTGAGTCTCTTGGGTGTTTGAGAGGGTGTATATGGTCATCCTCAGAGCTATGGTCCCTTTTTGGGTACTGTACCCTCAAAAAAAGGGGCCGCCCTCATCATAGTTAGTAACCCCAAACGGGACCCTACAATAGAAAAGTCACCATCTGCGCTTTTTTGGGGGGTTGCCTCCAGGGTTGTCCCAGCACTCCCGGACAGCCATTGGTTGGGGCGCTTGCAGCCGCGCGTGCGCACGTGCCTACAACTTTGTCAGACTGGGTAGCATTTTGTAAAAATGCTACTTCTAAGGGCACTTATAAATCTTAAATTCAATAAGGAATAGACATTTGAATGAACTCTTAATGCTATCCCAACCACGGTTTGGACAATTGGGTGCTCCGGTTACTCCTCGGATCCTCCGTTCCTTCGCAAGATCCCTGCGAGCGCAACTACTTGAAGGTCTTTAGGCGTTCTTGAACGCACTGTGTAGGGTTCAGGGTTGCGGGTCTGTAGGTTTTAGGAGAAGATCTGCGTGGAACCATCGAAGAGCTTTTTCAACCCAAGGATGTCCTGAGACCCTAAGCCCGAATCCCTAAACCCTAAACCCTAAACCCTCAACCCTAAACCCTCAACCCTAAACCCCAAAGCTTGCTTTCCGAATTCCTTCAGGTCAGTCAGACATGGCCTACATCCTGGCTGACAAGCGCATGTGAGCAGGAGGTGAGTTTCAGGGATTAGGGTTTAGAGTTTAGGGTCTAGGGTTTAGGGTTCAGCTACGGCGTTAGCAGGTTCTGAGGCCTTATCTTACTGTTGGCGAGCAGGGAATGGGGGAAACAGGTACCGGCTCTTTACCGTCAGCCCCTTGCCGCGAATCGCGGGTTGCGCCGTCGAGCGCTGCAGCGCCATGCAAAAGGAGACAAAAGGGCGCACAGGGTTTAGGGTTTAGGGTTTAGGGTTTAGGGTTTAGGGTTTAGAGCCCAATACCTCAAGGAGCATACCGTCAACTCAGTGTTCCTAAGCATGAGTTAATTGGGTCTAAACCTGGGGGGGGGGGGGGGTATATACATATACAATAGTTATATATTACAATATAGTATACTATAGTATAGTATATATAATTTGATATAATGTAATGTAATGTAATGTAATGTAATGTAATGTAATGTAATGTAATGTAATGCAATGTAATGTATTTTACGTATGTATGTCCGTGTGTATGGAAGGGTGCCTGGATTTTGGGAGTCTTGCGGACCTGCCGCTAGGTGTAGGTGCTTTATGAGGCTCAGTGGCTTCACGTTTGCCCAAAATTCCCTGAAAGCCTAAACCCCTACGCCTTAATCCTAAGCCCAAAGGGCCCTACATCGTAAATCCTGCACGCCAAACCGCACCCCCGAAGCACCAAACCGACCTCTAATTAAACCATGAAAGCATAAGACCTGGGACACGAAACGCAAAAAAACACTCAAGCCCTGAAGCCGGTAAGCCGCAAAAACCCCAAAGCCTAAAGTCCTTGAACCCTAGGTAGGACATGAAACCAGAAGCCCCGGGCCGGGGCCCTAAAACCCGAAACTCAAAGAAGACTAGAGCATGCCAAGCCCTAAACCCTTCAACCCTAAAACCCTAAACCCCGAAAACCCTGAAACCCTGAAAACCCAGAAACCCTAAGCCCTAAACCCTACACCCTGAACCCTTGAAGAAGACCCTCGCCCCGCCAAGGTACATCTCAACGACCGCTTCCTCGTGGGCCGTTTGTTTGCTCAGGGAAGGGCTGCGGAACAAGCCCCTTGAGCCACCATGTGTGTGTGAAGCACCACATCGTCGCATGTCACAACGACTTTGCAGTTCGTATGAGCATAGCTCTACAAGCATCAGACACCAGAGATATGTACAAACCTCTTTTGACTCTGAGACAGTCATGTGCTTTGCTGCAAAAGATTCTCCAATTCGAGTCGTTGCCATGGCTGATTCTGATGTTGGGACTGTAGTGGGCCTTCCTGAAGATCCCATGCAACGAGAGGTTATGGTAGCCCAAGCGCAAGCTGCTGGGGCAGCTCCGAATACCGAGCACCCGACGATGAACGGAGTCGGTGCAACCCGGGCCAGGTCGGGAGTGACGAATCTGCTGGCAGAAGAGAGTTCCACTTCGGCGACAGAGGAGACAGTTTCCTTTGCTGGACGAGAGGGAGCTCCGCCAACTGAAGGGGGTCCTGGTGGTACAGTGGTTCGAGAGACCGCATCGCAGCATAGTCAGGCGGGGCCCGAGAGGCTTGGAACGAACTATGACTGTGGCGGAGCTGGACCCGCTGAACCGACCGCCAGGAGAGAGCAGGTCACCGCAACTGGCTACAGCACTCCAAGGTCTACAAGACTTCTGCAGAATGGTGGGCAGCATTGGGTGGCTGGATTGGAAATGCCGAGCTGGGTTACCCGGCTGGGATCCTACCTGTCGCGGGGCCCGCAGAACGAGTTTTTTCCGAGTCCCCTTGGCGGAAGCCAGGGGTCCCAGAGGTCTTTGCCAGGAGGACCTACCTTTACTTTGCGACCCCCGAGCAGGCCACCTACTTCCCCGGAGACGCCAAGTTCCTCGAGCCTTCCTCAGGAGGCAATTCAGGCTGAAGTTCAGCGGCAACTTGGACAGGTGTTGCAGAAACTTCAAGAGGCTGAGCGGAGGAATGAGCGTTTGGAGCAAGAGCTGGCAGCTGAAAGGGGGCAAGCGATGGCGATGAAGGGGCTGTATGGAATTAGTCCCACAGAACCAAGTCGCCCTTCTGATCAAGTTCCATCAGGTCTTCAAGGAGTTCTAGGTCCCACAGAACCAAGTCGCCATCCCGATCAAGTTCCATCAGGTCTTCAAGGAGTTCTAGGTCCCACAGAACCAAGTCGCCATCCCGATCAAGTTCCCTCAGGTCTTCAAGGAGTTCTAGGTCCCACAGAACCAAGTCGCCATCCCGATCAAGTTTTCTCAGGTCTTCAAGGAGTTCTAGGTCCCACAGAACCAAGTCGCCAACCGGATCAAGTCCCACCAGGCCTTACAGGTGATCTCCGGGGTGAGTGGAATCCGAGGTCAACTGATGCTCAAGGGTCCCAAGCACCGAGCTTCTTGAGGCCGTTGTTAAGCGGAGGATCTAGGCCACCTACACCCCCGATTCCCCGGGAACCATCGAGTCCTACTGGAGGCCCTGTGGTGGAAATTTTGGCAAAGGGAATCAAGCAACTTCAGGAACTTCAAGCTCAAAATCTGTCGAAGACAACCTCGACTACAGCATCCCAGGAAGTGGTTAAGCCAGGGACAGTGGCACTGAGCCCACTACCCGAGTATCGTGCCTCGGATGGTGCAGGTTCCTCGGCGCTACAGCTGCAAGACTGGATGGAAGTGGCCACGACGGTGTTAGCTGATGTGAGTGAGAATAGCGGCACTTGGTGGTCGGCAGTCATGGAATTGGTCAACGGGACCTATGCCCGGTGGTTGGCAGCCACCCCTTTGGAGCGGTTGCAGATCACGCCGGAAGGGGCCGAAGCTTTGTGCACGGGACGTTGGACCCGGGTCAATGCCAGGACTGCTTCCATGTTGTTGTCTGCAATGGGTGAAGAGCTTCGTGGAGAGATGATAAGTCAAAGGATTACCCAGAGCTCCCCGCGGATGGTCTTCCGCCTCTTTGTGTTGTTCCAACCTGGAGGGAGTGCTGAAAGGCAGGAGGTCCTGAGGAAGCTTCAAAATCCAGGTGAGTTTGTGGCCGGCGATGGTTTGGAGGAGGCGCTAAAAACCTTGAGGTGCTGGCCGAGATGGCTGGCCCGGTGCAAGTCTGTCAACATGTCGCCTCCCGATGCCTCGGTCATGGTCAGGGGGCTGATGAACCTTACAACCAAGCATATATCGGCCTCCCCCGACGCCACATTCAGGACAGCAATGCTGAGGACCTCGCTTCGCCTTGATGCACAACCTTCACTGTCGCAGGTTCAGGACTACCAGAAACACTTGCAGGCTGAGTTGGAGACGATACTGGCTTCATCGGGTACCACCTCAACCGGCCTAGCGGCAACCTCCAGTCCTAAGGTCAGGGCCCTTGATACGTCCGGAAGCCCCAAGAACAAGGAGAAGGAGAAGGGTGGAACCGAGATGTGTCGCTACTTCATTAAGCCTTCGGGATGCCGCCGGGGAAGCAGATGTACATTCTCACACAACATGGCCACCTTGGACAAGGAGACCCGTGCCCGGAAGTGCCTGCAATGTGGGAGTGAAAGCCACCGCCAGAAGGACTGTCAGGTGAATGTGAAGCCAGGTGCAAAGACCAAGCCTTCACCCACATCCTCCACATCAACTACGACAAGGTCGGCAGGATCAGCGGGACAGGGTCAAGCAACCCCAACAGTGGCCGCCGTAGCGCCTACTGAGCCTAACGAGCCGGTGCAGGGAACGCCTTGGACATTCGAGACCTTGATGCAGGCGGCCCAGCAGGTGATTCAATCGCAAGGACAACCCGCCACTGGAGGACCAGATGGTGGAAAGAGCCCGGAGAAGACTCCAAGCTCAATGAAGGTCCTGGTGGTCAAGGATATCCGGGTATGTTCCTTGCAGTCATCGTCCTCGGCCTTATTGGACTCGGGAGCCACTCATTCGTTGAGAAGCGCTGGAAGTTGGGAAGGAGGTGGAGGTGCAGCTGGCAGGAAATCATGATACTCTTCTGATGCCACCACAATCGGCTCCCGGCGTTGATCGGCAATCCCAGCAGACGATCGTTCCTCTGGGCGAGCTGGTAAAAATCCTCGGCTACACCATGAAGTGGTCCCAGGAGGAGTGCATCTTGGAGGACCCCAATGGAGAGGTCATTCACCTGAGTACCAACTCAGGATGTCCCCAGCTGTGCGAGGCTGAAGCATTGGCACTGATCGCCCGCCTGGAAGAGCGAAAGCGAGAGCGCCTCGAGAATGAGACCTTGGCTACAGAGGACAGAATCGCGAAGGTGGCCTCCTACATGGACCGGTCTTGGTTTGAGTACCTGCTGAACTACACATCCACCAACAATAAGGAGGCAGGACTTCGAGCTCTACGGGATGTGCCATTTCTGAGGGAAGTTCCGGGGGAATGCATAAATGGGCTGATACCTCCTGGAGAACCAAAGGGAGGATGGGAGACCATGAAGAAGGTGACTTACCTGACAAGGGCCCAGCGACGAACCTTGCTCACCGCTAAGAAGTGGATAGTGCATCTCTTCGCTGGGGAGGAGGGACACATGGAGTTCTACAAGTTCCATGATGGCGACACGGTGGTCTTGGAGGTGGACATCAGACAAAGTCGAGGACATAACCTCCTGGGTGATTCGCCAACATGGGAGATGCTTCTGTGGGGGGCCCGTATGGGCAAGATCGACATGCTTTGTGGAGGACCACCGGGTCGTGATGGGCTTGCGTTTTGTCCCAAGGAGCCGGACGCTACGACCCTCAAGCCTTTGTCTTTGATCTCGAGAATGCTCTGGCTGTATGCGGTGGCGGCAACCGGAAGGATGACTATGGCTAAGGGGGCACTCCGTCATAAAGAAGTTGGCTTCGTGATTGAGCACCCCGGGCCTACTACTTCATCGCCACCACAACCAAGGGACCAGCGCCCATTCCTATGGGAAACCAACATGTGGAAGGAGTTTAAGGGCGAGACCGGCATGTTTGAGGTCGCGTTTGAGCAAGGGGGAACCGGAGCATCGTCGAGAATGAGCACGGTGTTGGAAACCAACGTCCCCTACTCAAGAGGCTTGGAGGGCATCAAGTCGGACGACAACCTGAAGGACCACCCAGAAGGTGCAGATCGAAGCCGATGGTCACCAGGGCTAGTGAGGGCATTGACCATTGCTTTCCATATGTGGTCACGGAGTCCAAGGGTGTATGCCATGAGTCCCGAAAGATGGAAGGCCCATGTAGATGCATCTCATCTCCCGTACCATAGGGACTGCTCGACATGCGTCATGGCAAGAGGGACTGGAAGGCGCCACGCTCGAGTCCATCATCCGGACAGCTATGTCCTTACTTCAGACCTCTCGGGGCCGCTGAAGCCAGGACTAGATGCAGCTGTTAAGGGAACGCCGGCCTGCAACATCCGCTACCTGCTGGTTGCCAAGTACCTCTTTCCCAAGGAGTTCGTGCGTGCCTACACAAAAAGGGAACCACCGTCTGAGGAGGGTATGGTCGAGCAATCCCAACCTGAACCTGGAGAAGCAGGACTTCAACTTGAGGAAGAAGACGACCAGCTACTCCCGGATGATGAGGCCGACTACGAACCTTCCATCGATGATGAGGATCACAATGAAGAAGGTGGAGAGCAGTTGGTGGATCTGATTGAACCCTTAGACAACAAGGATGGGGAAGCGAGCAATGAGCGGGAGGAGGAATTGGCAACTCATGATTCTGAAGATGGAGGTCCTAAAGGGCATGCAGCAATGAGAACTGGAGATTGCCGTCCCCCCGAGATGACTTCGCTGGTGTTTGCTGTCGGGATACCCAACAATAAGACTGCTACGATCAAGGGCGCTTTGCAGGACGTCATCCTGTACCTGGGTGCCCATGGCCTACCAGTCCTTCGATTCCACTCCGACCGCGGTGAATACTATTCAGCAGCCTTCAAGTCCTGGTTGAGAGAGCAGGGAATTCGAGGAACCTGGGCGGAACCCGGAATTCCGCAAACCAATGGTCATGCCGAAGCCACCGTGAAGTGGATTAAGAACAGGACCCGAACCATGTTGGTGGCTAGTGAACTACCTGTTCGTCTTTGGCCAGCAGCGGCTGAAACGGCAGCTGCCGAACAGCGAGCTGCGGTGCTGGGTTGGAAATCTTCACTCCTGGCTCCTTTCGGCACAACCGTACATGTGAAAAAGAGACCGTGCACCGCGCTTGGTCCGAGGAGGAGTGGAGACGTTCGATCCTCGGTGGATGAAGGGGAGATACGCTGGTTTGAGTGGATTACTGGATCGAGGCCACTTGGTCTATCTTCCGGCAGATGAGAACAAGGCTGAAGGTTTCTTCCACACTTTCCATGTGAGGCCCAACCTGGTGGATCCCGGCGGGCCAACTGCAACATTGGAGGCAGATGAGGTCGTGAAACCGGCTACTCGTTTGTCCGAAAAAACCAAACTCGCCGATGTGGTTCCTAGAGTTGCAGTACTGGAGAGGGTGAAGCCGGGAGCGATCGAGGAGGAGGCTCAGCAGGTGTTGGAGATCAATGAGGAGGATGAAGACATGAAGTTTGTGGAAAGGTGGTTCAGGGACGGACCGTTACCCAACTTCAAGGCTGGAGCATATCGACATGGAGGTGTGGTTGGGGTGTGAATACTACATCACAATATCCTCATCTAGTGCAAGTGCTCACCAGAATCCTACAGCGCTCCATGCCTGAGGCAACCTTCACAGCTGTACTGGTGTCCACCAACACTTTGAAGGAGTTTCATCAGGATGTTAATAACGATGCGACCACGAAGAACTTCCTGGTGCCAGTCGTGTGTCCGTCAAAAGGAGGAGGAGTATGGGTTCAACTACAACCTGGAGACGTGGTTCAGGGAGAACTGAGTCAAAGACCGAATGCCAAGGGAGAACTGGTGTTTGGAAATTTGCACCCGCTCGTAAAGGGGAAGTGCATCTCTTTCTCCCCGAGGAGGTCCCATGAGGTTATGGAATGGACTGGTGATCGAGTTGTGATCATTGGATATACCCCCCACTGCCACGGACATATGGCTACCCGATGATTAAGACGCTGGAGAGCCTAGGTTTTCAACCTCCTCTATCACAACTACCAGAGTACTACATCCCGACTCCCGAGATTGCGAAGATTGACCTCAATCACCCCACTGAAGTCACAACCGAGAAGGATGATGAGCAGGTGGAACCAATGGTGAACGCAAGTGATTGGGAGATGTTTCTGGAGGTTGAAGGTGGTGAAGCGAGCTTAGGAGGAGGTGGAGGCGATCTGTTTGGATCAACCGGCCCAACAATCTGCAAGGCGGAGGTCGGCTACACACCCGACATCGAGGAATTGCTGGCTTCGTTGAAGGCACCGTTGGACGTGGTACATAATGTTGATCCCCAAGAAGTTCTCCGTTCTCTGGAAAAATGGCTGCCAGCAATTCAAAAGGAAGTTAAAAGCGTGGAGCATGCCATCGAGAGATTGAGGAGGGGGACAGCGGCACGTGCTGGTTGGCTGCAAAGGAAGGGGGTCCAACGACTTCCCACCAAGTTCGTCTACACGGTGAAGCCGAATGACAAGGCCGACCTCAATGACCCGTCGACCTGGTTCAAGCGAAAGGCTCGGCTGGTGGTTTGTGGCAATATGGCAGTCAATAGCAATCCCGACCTCTTCACTGAATCAGCTCCGGCTGAAGCAGTCCGAGCGGCTCTGACCCTCACTTGCAAGAACCAGTGGTCGGTGGGAATACTCGATGTCGTCACAGCCTTCTTGAAGACACCCATTGGAAGATCCACAAGGGCTCCCGTCGTGGTAGTCCAGCCACCCAAGCTGTTGGAACGCTTGAAGATCATCGAGGAGTTCGAGCTTTGGGGCCTAATTAAGGCGCTATATGGACTCAAGGAGTCACCTCGCTTGTGGGGAAGCTATAGAGACCATGAGCTGGAGTCCCTCACCCTGACGATCAATGATAAGATCCTGCAGCTCAGAAAGGGAAAGGCGGTGGCTGCGTGGTGGACCGTCTTGGGCTCTAACCAGGAGATCATGGCAGTTATCGTGATCTATGTGGACGATTTCATGATCTGTGGTAGTCGGGAAACCATCGTGAAGTTGGCCCAGGGGATCCAAGGACTATGGGAAACCACGGAATTGCAGATGATATCGCCACAACAACCCGTTCGGTTCTTGGGAATGGAGATATGTCTTCGGGGAGGAGGAGAAGAACCAATGTCCTTTGGAATCACCCAAGAAGCCTACATCCGCGAGCTCCTAAGGACGAGGAAGGTTGCCGCCACCCAGTTGGATCGTGTTCCGTTGAGCAAGGACTCAGCATCTTTCTCCGTCTTGGACAACGACATCCCACCCAATGACTTTGATGTCCACTTGGCCCAACAACTCACAGGAGAGCTGCTTTGGGTTTCTCAGCGGAGCCGCCCGGAGCTGTCATTTGTGACCTCACTCATGTCGGCATTGACCACGAAGGCTCCAAGCCGAGTGATCACAATTGGTATGAAGGCCCTGGGGTACTTGCAGCGAACGCAAGCCCGACAATTGACCATCGGCTACGACGGGTCTGGCTTAGCGCTATTCTGTGATGCGGCCTATGCTCCGGAATCTGGAAGGTCGCACTCGGGATGGGCGGTGTTTTGGGCTGGCTCAGCAATCGTATGGAGATCGGGAAGGCAAAGTGTGATATCGCTCTCCACGGCGGAGAGTGAACTTATCTCCATGTTGGACGGAGCGGTGGCAACCCTGGGAGTGGAAGCTTTGCTACAGGATATTGGGGTGGAGGTCTCAGCACGTACCATCTACACCGACAGCACCTCTGCTTTGGCAATTTCGTCTGGTAGTGGTGGATGGCGTACTCGGCACCTCCGCATAAAGGCTGGGTGGCTGCAAGAGCAGCTGGATGCTGGCATCATCATGGTGAAGCACTGTGCTGGAAGAATTCAGCTAGCAGACCTATTAACAAAGGCCCTCGCTGCCCAGAGGATCAATGACCTCCTCAGTCTTTGGGGAGTGACCGACAGCTCATCGACAAGCAGAACAGAAACGTCATCGAGTTCTGGTGGAGCGGCTAAGGTTCTGCTGGCCCTCGTGTGCTGCCTACTGATAGTGGGAGCTAAGGCGGAAGAGGAGGCCCTTGGAGTTCAGAGTCGACTTTCTGTTGATTGGGACTTGGTGGGGTGGCTACTTCTGTTTCTGGCGGTCGCAGGGGTTGTGGCAATATGGGAGGCGATGAAGTGGGTGACCACTGAAGTATGGGATTGGACTCCAGGGTCAGGAACGAGGAAGTTGAGAAAGCTTCAAAGGTTGGAGGTAGCGACAAGAAGGGCGATTGAGGCAGAGATTCGAAGGCGAGCCAAGGAGGAGAGCGATGATGCGACCCCTTCGACCCGGCCAACTACTTCTTCGACCCGACCAGCTACTTCTTCGACCCAACCAGCTACTTCTTCGACCCGACCAGCTACTTCTTCGACCCAACCTGCCACTCTGTCGACTCTCAATGACAAGCTCCGAATCCAAGCGCCAGCACCGATGAATCCGACTGGAATGTCCACAACACCGAGATCTACACGTGATTCGCAACAACCGAGCCATCTACAGAGATCTCCAGCAACCAGCACTACGAGCTATGGCGACTGGAATGAAGGTGAGTTTCCTTCAGATCGCACAAGGGTGTGCATTGACGTTATCATGCTCATGGTGGTGGAGGAGATCAAGACTGGACTTCGTGAAGAAGGCTTGTCGCTTACTGGCACGAAGGAAGTTTTGGCGGCGAGGTTGGCGACCCACATCGAGGAGGGAGTGTTCCCAGCGAGGGAATTGCCCACCACGAGACAGCTGAAGTATGTCCTCTACATCTGGCGAGAAAGGAACTTGGCTTTCAAGGTTCGTCTGAGATGGGGCGATATCTGTACAAAGGGACGAGTTTCCAGATGGATTAGTATGTGGAAAAATGCTGGTGAGGAACTTCAGTGAGGCGAAGGCGATGGGATGTGGATATTGGGGCTGCAGCACCTATCGAAGCTGCAGAGGAGGAGTGAAGAAGACCCTCGCCCCGCCAAGGTACATCTCAACGACCGCTTCCTCGTGGGCCGTTTGTTTGCTCAGGGAAGGGCTGCGGAACAAGCCCCTTGAGCCACCATGTGTGTGTGAAGCACCACATCGTCGCATGTCACAACGACTTTGCAGTTCGTATGAGCATAGCTCTACAAGCATCAGACACCAGAGATATGTACAAACCTCTTTTGACTCTGAGACAGTCATGTGCTTTGCTGCAAAAGATTCTCCAATTCGAGTCGTTGCCATGGCTGATTCTGATGTTGGGACTGTAGTGGGCCTTCCTGAAGATCCCATGCAACGAGAACCCTAAACCCTAAAACCCTACAACCCCAAACCCCTTAAGCCCCAAACCCTAAACCCCAAACCCTAAACCCCACACCCTAAACCCCAAACCCTAACCCTAAACCCCAAACCCTACACCCCAAACCCCAAACCCTAAACCCTAAACCCCAAACCCTACACCCTAAACCCCAAACCCTAAACCCCCCCCCTCCCCCCTTGAGATGGCAACCTGAGGTGCCTCCCCAGCGGCCGCGTCTCCGTCCAGCGCCTAAGCTGGCCCCTGGGCCGGGGCGCCCTGTGGCGCTTCAAGGGGGGTTTAGGGTTTAGGGTTTAGGGTTTTAGGGTTTAGGGTTTTAGGATTTAGGCTTTAGGGTGTTTGGTGTTTAGGGTTTAGGGTGTAGGGTTTAGGGTTTGGGGCTTTAGCGTTTAGAGTTGAGGGTGAGGGTTTGGGGTTTTGGGTCTTGGGTTTTAGGGTTTAGGGCGTGGTTCTGCGTCAAGAACTTGAATAAGGCAACCCTGAAGCCGGCCCTACCCTAACCCCTAAACCCCTAAGCCCTAGATTAAAGGGACGGCTTCAGGGTTTTGGGCTTTCTAAGGTTTCTAGGGCTTTCCTCTCCTGTTGTCCATGCCCGTGCAGTTTTAAGGTAGATTACATTCCGTCGTTTTCCCACGGCACATGCTCTGTTCAAGCTAGGTGCCTGCGACAGTGCCTACGAAGGAAGTGGACCGGGGGCACCGGCGACGGCGCAGGTGCCTCCCTTTGAAACTGGCAGGGGTGCAGCGTGCAGTTCTGCACCACAAAGACGAGGACCTGCAGAGCCTGACCAAAATTTACTTGGGCAGGATTTCGGAATCACGCACCGCGGATGCAGGGAGAGCATTCCAAGGACCGTCTCATCCATATGACAAGGGCTCCAAGTCCCACGTGGTTCAGGGGGTTTTCGGGTTTAGGGTTTAGGGGTTTAGGGTTTAGGGTTTAGGATTTGGGGGTTTAGGGTTTAGGGTTTAGGGGTTTTTGGTTCAGGATTTGGGGTTTGGGGTTTAGGGTTTAGGGTTTGGGGTTTAGGGCTTTAGCGTTTAGGGTTTTAGGGTGGTGCTGCGCTTCAGGGGCTTCAGGATTTAGGTGTTTTCGGGTGTAGGGTTTAGGGCTTTAGGGTTGTAGGGTGCAGGGTTTTAGGGTTTCAGGGGCTTCATGGCTTTAGGCGTGTCAGGGTTTTCGGTTTGTGGTTGAGGGTTTAGGGTTTTAGGGCTCAGGATTTAGGGTTTTAGGGTTTAGGTTTCAGGGCTTTAGGTGTTTCAGGGTTCAGGGTTTCCGGGTTTAGGGTTTTAGGGTTTTAGGGTTTAGGCTTTAGGGCTGCAGGGGCTTCAGGGTTTTTTAGGTGTCTTAGGGTTGAAGGCTTTTCAGGCGTTTAGGGTTTTAGGGTTGATAAGCTTCAGAGGCTTCATGGTGTAATATCTCAGGATTTTGGGTTTAGGGCTTAGGGCTTAAAATGCTCTGGTCGGGTTTTCGGGTTTACTGTTTGGGGTCTACTTAGGGTTTCGGTTTCTAGTGTTCCAGGGGCTTCAGGGTTTCAGGGTCTTGGGTTTAGGGTTTTAGGGCTTTAGGTGTTTCAGGGTTTCCGGTCTAGGGTATGGGCGTTTCAGGGGTTGAGGGTCCAGGGTTTACTGTTTTAGGGTTTAGGTTTCAGGGTTTTAGGGTTTAGGGCTGGTGTTATAGGTTTCAAGCGAATCTCAAAGCAAACGTTTATTTCAACCGCAGAAGAGCGCGCGGAGATGGCTGGACCTCATAACCATTTTAGGGTTTTAGGGTTTAGGGTTTAGGGTTTAGGGTTTAGGGGTGTCCCGTGTTTTTGCCCGGATTTCTCAAAAGCTCCTGGGTTACGAACCCATATGGTTTAGGGTTTAGGGTTCAGGGTTAAGGGTTCAGGATTCAGGGTTTAGGGTTTAGGGGTTTAGGGTTTAGGGGTTTAGAGTTTGGGGGGTTAGGGGTTCAGGGCTCCCCTGCAGAGGTTTGAGCTCGGAGCTTGGGAAGCTGCATTGCTGCCCGCTGTGGCTGCAGGCCGGACTTCGGGAGGTATCGAGGGAAGCGTCCCCAGCGAGTACCCCTAAACCCTAAAGCCTAAACCCTAAACCCTAAACCCTAAGCCCGGAAAGTCCCACCCTAAACCCCGAAACCCTATCCCCAAACCCCGCACCCTAAACCCTGAACCACAAAGCCCGAACAACCCTTAAGGCCCCCAAAGCCCTTAAAGCCACTTGAAAGCCCTTAAACACCCTGAAAAGCCCTGCGAAACCTTTTCAAAAACCCCAAACCCCCAAACCCTACATGACCCCAAACCCCTAAACCCTAAATCCATAGGCCAGGTCCTCCCCCAAACCCTAACTTAGACTTTAAACCCTAACCCCTAAACCCTAAACCCTAAACCCCAAACCCCAAACCCCAAACCCCAAACCCCAAACCCCAAACCCCAAACCCCAAACCCCAAACCCCAAACCCCAAACCCCAAACCCCAAACCCCACCCAACCCCAAACCCTAAACCCTAAACCCCAAACCCTAAGCCCTAAACCCTAAACTTCTTGAAGCCCTCTAAGCTGACTGGCCAGGTCCTCCCCGAAACCACGGCCGCCGAAGGAGGCCCCCTGGTCGCTGCGTGCGACGTGCAGCTTCCGGAGGCTCCAGGGTGCTCTTGACTTGAAATAGGGTTTAGGGTGAGGGTTCCTGGGTTTTGGAGTACTATACTTTAATACTTTTTTGGGTTCTGGGTTCCCATTATAGCTACTTATACCTAAAAAGTGTATACTAGGGTTTGGGGCTCGGGTTTAGGGCTCACTATAGGGTTATTTGTTTTTAGGGCTTAGGGCTTCGAGTTTAGGGTTTTGGGTTTAGTTTCTTATTTTTGAGAGAGGGGGGGGTTAGGGTCTAGGGCGCGTGGGATATTTCCTTACTGGGTTTAGGAGGATCACGTGTAGGAATAGCTTTCAGCGGGCTTCAAGGGCCATCCTAGGCTTGCAGGGCTTTGCAGGGCATTCAGGTTTTCAAAGGGTCCCAAAGGGCTTTCACGAGTTTTTTAGGGGCCTTAGGGGTTTTGAAGGGGTTTCGGCGACTTTGAGGGCTTTGCGGGTTGTTCGAAGAAGTTTGCTGTTGATTTTCCGGCTGTTTAGGGGCTCCAAAGGGCCACCAAGGTCCCCCTGGAGTGGGGCAAAAGCCTCGTCCTCGCCCGGAAAGGGCTTGTGTCCGGAACTCTCCTCATCTTCACCGGCGACAAGAAGCGTGAGAGACCTGTCGATGTCAACTCTCTGGAGCCCGCGGTGAAGAGAGCCCTGGTTTCTGTGGTGCAACGCGGCAAAGGTGTGCCTGACGAGAGAACACAATCCGGCTGGCATCGTGTGGAATCCCTCTTCTCGGCATTTACGTTGGGAGACCATTTCTTGTGTGACGGCATCTTCTTTTTTTACCACCCAAGGAACCTGCCCTGGCCATTGAGCCTTAAAAGGGGTACGTATTTGGGCTGGGGGGTTTTGGGGGGGGTGGGTGGGGGGGGGGGGGGGGGGGGGGGGTAGGGTTTTTAGGGTTTGGGGTTTGGGGTTTCGTCTCCTATATATAGCACGGCACCCTTAGAAGAAGGACCCCCAAAAGGGACCCTATAATTTAGAGAACTACCCATATGGGCTTTTGAGCAGGGGGGTTGGAGCACTTTCAGCGGCAAAACCCTGAACCCTACAGAAATTCCTATACCCCTTAACCCCTTAAACCCAAACAACAGCAACTCGTTGGCACCCGGATCTAAGCCCTGGATCCTATTGATCGGTTTAGGGTTTAGGGTTTAGGGTTTAGGGTTTAGGGTTTAGGGTTTAGGGTTTAGGGTTTAGGGTTTAGGGTTTGGGGTTTGGGGTTTAGGGTTTAGGTTTTAGTCCCCTATTGCCATAATGGCTTTTCTCGCATCTCTTTGTCCGTACCCCGCCGGACCGACCCCCCTTGTGAACCAGGTTTGGAAAAATCCTGAAGCCACCCAAACCGTGCTGAAACCCTATATAACACTTCATCGCCACAACTGCTTCTCTGTGGTGCTTTACAGTAACTTTACATCCTTAGCCTTTTTGGGTTTCTTGGGTTTCTTAAGAAGCCAGCTAAAAAAATTATTTTTTAGCTACCACCCTAAGTGCAGCCAAGATAGCACTTCATCGCCACAACTGCTTCTTGAAATCCCTGAAGCTGATTCATGATTAGTAGCCCAAACCCTATGAAAACCCTAAACTCTTATATAAACCCTAAATCCCCAAAAGCCCCTGAACCCAACTGAAGCCTTATTGAAGCCCTCTGAAAACCCATGCCCCCTCATCCCAAACCCAGTCAGGCTGGTCTCACCGCGGCCCCTCGCACGGGCGTCTGGGGGCTCAGGAGGAGACTATAGAGACCCCTAAACCTCAAGCCCTTCCTAAATAAACCCTAAACCCTAAACCCTAAACCCTAAACCTTAAACCCTAAACCCTAAACCCTAAACCCTAAACCCTAAACCCTGAAGTTGGGATGTTCCACCTTCTACTGACAGTCCTTAATAGGGATCATACTAGCGGGTACTGGAATCCGCATTAAGGACTGTTAGTATAAGGGAGAACATCCCAACCCTTAGGCTCTAATCCATAAAAACCTTAGAACCTTAAACTGATGGGCTTACGGGCTCGGAAGTTTGGGCAGTAGGGTCTCTATAGAGCTTACACATAGGCCTCGGGTTCCTAGGGCGCTTTAAAGGTTTATAGGGCGCTGGGCCTGGCAAACATGTAGGTTTTTTCGGTTTTGGCGGGGAGTTCTGAGGATGTTAAACATGTTGCCCTCAGTCCGGAACCCCAAGCTCTAGGCTCCGCCCTGGCTCATGGCACCGATGCTTAAACCCTAAACCCGTCTCAAAGGCTATGACCGTACCTTGGAGCCCCCGTCCAGAGAAAGGATACTGTAAACGCCCCTTAAAACGGGTTTAGGGTTTGTAAAGGTTTTGGGTTATTGGTTCCTCAAAACCCCTACCTGAGAAAGACGCTGTGTGTACAGCCGGATATGCCTGTGATGCCGCTGGGGCAGCGCAAGCCTCTTTAGTAGCGGCAGAGACAGCAGTGGAGTGCCAGCGCCTCATGGGCCCGAGGGCTGGGAACACAAAGGCAACGGCCGCAACGTGCGGCAAACCGCGCCGCTGCCAACTGGAATAAACAAGCCAAAGGTCATGTCCCTTGTTGAAGACCATGCATGGGTCTGTACAGTCTATGTCCGCATTATAATCGGGACCCCTGAAGAAGAGACCCTAAGTTCGAGTATTTTCTTCATGGGCCTCTGCAACGAGACGGTTCGGTGGAAGGCAGCTTGACTTGACCCTTAATTAAACCCTAAACCCATAAAAGCCCTCTCCAGCCTGCAGAATCCAAACCCCCAAACCCCCAAAACCCCCAAACCCCCAAACCACCAAACCCCCCAAACCCCAACACCCAGAAATCCGTAAACAGAAAACCTAAACCCGAAACCCTAAACCCTTAAAACAACCGAAGCCCAAACCCCCAAACCCTAACACCCCGCAATCCGCAAGCAGAACACGGAGAGTTTGATATTTTTGTTACGATTACTATCATCACTACTATTAAGATAATTATTCCTATATTATTATTATTACTATTATTACTATTAGTATTGTTGTTATCATTATCATCATCATTATTATTAAATACCGCAAGCAGAACACCGAGAGATCGAGGTGGTCCGACTTTGCCTGGGCTCCATCTGCGAGGCCTCACGGGATCGGCTCTCGCTGCAGGTGGGGGGAGGGGGGGGGGGGGGGGGGGAGGGGAGGGTTTAGGGTTTAGGGTTTAGGGTTTAGGGTTTAGGGTTTAGGGTTTAGGATTTAGGGTTTAGGGTTCAGGGTTTAGGGTTTAGGGCTTAAGGGGGATTATATTATACCTCTTTTTGTGTGGGGGGGGGGGGGGGGGGGGGTTAGGGTAGGAGGCTTTAGGGAGTTCGGGGTTTGGGTGTTTTTGTTGGGCATTCGTGGTTTTTGGGGTTTTGGGGCCTTAGGGGCTTTGTGAGGCTTTGTGGTTTAGGGAGTTTGGGCTTAGTTCTTAGAGTTTAGGGTCTTTTTGGGGGGGTTTGGAGCTTCGAGGGCACAGGGTTGGTTGATGATTCCGAACCTCCTGTACCCCCTAAACTCCCTAAACTCCCTAAACCATAACCCTAAACCCTAAACCCTAAATCTCGATGCCTGTGTCCCGTGTCTAAGGTTGGAACCATGGGCCCTCAGCATGGTTCCTTACCCTTGATTCGAGAGATCCGAAGTCTGGACCCTTTGTGTTTTTAGTGAATCCTCAACCCCTGTAAACCCTCATCCCTCATCCCTAAACCCTAAACCCTAAACCCTAAACCCTAAACCCTAAACTCTTCAAGATGCCCTGATAAGGCCCCCCAGCGCCGCCTCCCTAAGCCGCCGCCCAGGCGGGGCCTTGCGAGGCGCTGCTGGCGCCGAACTACGGGCCGCCCGTGGGCCTCCTCTGCGGCCGGGGGGGAGGGCAGGGGGGGTTTAGGGTTTAGGGTTTAGGGTTTAGGGTTTAGGGTTTAGGGTTTAGGGTTTAGGGTTCGGGGTTTATGGTTTGGGGTTTGGGGTTTAGGGTTTAGGGTTTAAGGTGGATCGGAAGGGGGGGAAGGAGGGGGAGGGGGTCAGGGGGCAGTTAGGCAGGGTTTGGGGCTTAGTGATTTAGGGGAGGTAGTGCAGTAAGGGTTTATAGACATGCAGCGGGCTTTTAGGCCTGAGGGCCTTTAGGGTCTCGGAGGTTTTTAAGTTTGGGGCTTAGGGATTGGTATTTTAGGGCTGCGGGTTCACGGTCTAGGGCTTCCGGGTTGAGCGCCCCAAGCTTGGATGGGTCAAGGGTTTGGGGGTTTTTGTTTTGAGGTTTATCGCGCCTCCGCTGTAGGTGTTCAAGGTTTTGAGGTGCTTCAGGGTGAAGCATTGGCTCAAGAACAACCATGTAACGCTGAGCCCCCTTGAGGAATATACTCTAGAATCAGTATGACTCTGTTGCTTCAGGGACTTCGGGTCCCTAGCCCAAGAAAGCCTAAACCCTAAACCCTAAACCCCAAACCCTAAACCCTAAACCCTAAACCCTAAACCCTAAACCCTAAACCCTAAACCCCAAACCATAAATCCGAAACCCCAAACCCTGAACCCCCCGTTCTGCCCCAGAGGCGCGGCCGAGCAACCACGGGCTCCCGCGCCGCTCCCTGCGTTTGGGCGCCCAAGCACCTTGCGGTTTATAGGGGTTGGGGTTTAGGGTTTAGGGTTTAGGGTTTAGGGGTCTAGGGGTCTAGGGGTCTAGGGGTCTAGGGGTCTAGGGGTCTAGGGGTCTAGGGGTCTAGGGGTCTAGGGGTCTAGGGGTCTAGGGGTCTAGGGGTCTAGGGGTCTAGGGGTCTAGGGGTCTAGGGGTCTAGGGGTCTAGGGGTCTAGGGTTTAGGGTTTAGGGTTTAGGGGTCTAGGGTTTAGGGTTTAGGGTTTAGGGGTTAGGGGTTAGGTTTTAGGTTTTAGGTTTTAGATTTTAGGGTTTAGGGTTTAGGGTTTAGAAGCTCTTCTGCATTGAGGAACATTAGATGCCTTCTAGTAAGCAGTGGAATCCGACTATGACAGAAGGGGTAAACTCCTCAATCGCTCTCTATCAAAGGGACGTCGGGTTCCCTGGGCTCAAAAAGTTCCCGTGTGGGAGTTTTAAAGGGGTCTCAAGCTTCTACCCTGGGGTCGCGGGCCTTTCGGGATATCCCTGGACCGGGCCTTGGGATGTTTGATGTTTTCCGTTACTGGGTGACGTGCAGCTACCACTGCTACAGCTACGGCTCTTCTCACCGCCGTAGCTACATGCATGTCCAAGAGAGGTTGCACAAAGCAGTGCCAGGTAAAAAGCGCTGCAAAGGACAAATCCGTCAGCAATTTGTGGTAGGTTTCTGCTAGCCCCCCCCCCCCCCCGAACCCTGAACCCTACAAACCCTAAATCCCAACCCTAAACTCTAAACCCTGAACACTGAACCCTAAATCCTACATATATATATATATATATATATATATATGCTACCCCCCCCCCCTCCAAAACCTACCGTTTTCTAATTTTCTACACTTGCGTGACACCAAAACGCTTCAAAATGGAGACCGGCTTCCTAAATCCTTTAACCTTATTCGCACAATTTTCTATTGCATAAACCCCTATTTCCGAAAAAACGAAGCCTGTTCCCAAAATCCTGCTCGCTAAGTCCGAAAGCACGGGATCCCTACATCGTATTCCCTGAATCATATTCCCTCAGTCCCTAAATCTGGTGCGGGCGGGGGGGGGGCGGTGGGTCACTAAATGGCTCACTAAATCTTCTCGCTAAATCCTAAAGAGCGGGGTCCCTAAATCATATTCCCATGATTTTACTCCCTAAGTCTTTTCCCAAAGCCCTAAAGAGGGAAGTCTTGAAATTCTGAAGAGGAGAGCCGCTGAATTCCAAAAGGGAATTACTACCTCCACATTTAAAGAAATATTTTTCGTCGAAAATCCGGCTGTGAGACTGCTTTCCATTACGGGGGTTTCCATATGGGGAAATACCGCCACATTGAAAGAATTGTTTCCGGGGGGGTTCAAAAATCTGTCTGCAGGCTTCGTTTTTGATTTCTGAGCTGCAGTCTGGATCGTCGAAACTACAATATATTCCTAATGTGCTTAATAGAGAATGCATACATTGCCATGGTCTCATTATTGCAGTGCCCTGCCTTTCTTACTTATTGCGGTGGGCCGGGGGTCCCACCAATTAAACAGATGCTCGGATAAAATCTTATCGGGATCCCTAGATCTGGTTCCCTGAAATTAACTCGCTAAGGCCGCCTAAAGGGGGGGGGGGCTAAATCCTAAAGAGGAGGTCCCCTAAATCCTAAAAAGCATTCCCTTAGTTTTACTCTCTAAATCCTATTGCTTCTCCTAAAGAGGGGGATCCTTACTGTAAATCTTAAAAATGAGCCTCTCCTTCTACATCATAAAACAAAGAACCTTGCTCAGTAGATCTTATCGCTAAAGTCAACAAAGAAGGATCCCTCAATCTTATTCTCTTAATTTTACTCCCTAAATCCTATTGGGGAAGGGGGGGTGGGAGGGAGTCACCAAATCCTAAAGAGGGAACCTAAAAAATAGCCTTAAAACCCCAAAAATGAGACCCCCCCCCCTAACTCATACAAAAGCCCACCTTGCTCAATAAATCTTCTCGCTAACGCTAAAGCCTTAGCGATAAGGTTTGGGCTCCCTTAGAAAATAGGATTTGGGAACTAAGCTTTGGGATGCTCCCCACTTCAGCGCCTATTCCCTAAATCCTGCTCGCCAAAAAGTCCTAAAGAGCGGGATCCAATATAATGATGAAATATGTCCGATTCAAACTTGAATCGGCCGATTCAGTTTTGAATCGACCCTCAAACTAAAGATTGAAGTCGTCGTAATGTTGCAATACTCACATGCATATTCATACTGTGTATCGGCTTTATATGTATGAGTTGGCATGTAATCTGTGTACTCAATCTCCACAACACAACAAATTTGCTTATAAGGACTTAGTTTGCTTCTAATTAAAAGGGGAGAGGGTGCCAGGGGTCGGTCTTCCAAAATAAGCAGGACCAAAAAACACTCCCCACCACCCCCCTCCCCCCCCCCTCCCCTCTACTTCACTCCGCTGCGCGTTCTGCGTTTGTTTAAGGGTGTTGTCAGGCTTATTCTCCAAAACCCTATCGGTCCAGGGTTTAGGGTGTTAACGTAGGGTTAAGCAATTAAACCTCAACCCTGGACCTTTAAACACCCTATAGGGTTAAGGTTTAAAGGTTTAGGATTAAGTTTAGACATGTAAACCTTGACCTACAACTCAACGGAAACGCGAAACCTTTAACCCTTGCAGGGTTAAGGTTTAAAGGTATAGGGTTTAAGATATAGGCACTCTAAACCCCTATCGATCCAGGGTTTAGGGTTTTAAAGAAAAGCCCCGAAACCCTTAGAATGAAACAAATAATTAAGCCTAATTCTTTAACCTTTAAACCCTGTAGGGTTAAGATTTAAAGGTTTAGGGTTTAAGATATAGGCATTTAAACCTTGACCTGCCAGTACACCGAAACCCTTAAACTTTATGGGTTAATTCAAGGTCTAGGGTTTAAGATATTGGTAGTTAACCCTTGACGTGCAATTAAACCGAAACCTGCAGCCTGGAAACTTTATAGGGTTAAGGTTTAAAGGTTTAGGGCTTAAGATAAATGATTTTCAACCTAAGCCTGCAATTAAACTGAAACACATAACCTTCAAACCTTATATGAGGAGTACGCGTATGCTATGGCTGGAAACTGCGCGTTTATAGCCCAAGCTGCGTGTCGAAATTGAGTCGATTCAACGCATACATACTGGAACCACTTTCAGTGGCGTAATATACAATACCATGGCCTAGAGTTGCGTAATATATTTTTTAACCATAAGAAAAAATCTTCAGGACCGGGAGTTTTAAAACTCCTTGCTTAGCCACGAGAGGAGTTTTAAAACTCCTGCCACCGAAGATTGAAGATTGTCGGGGCCAAGAGTTTTAAAACTCCTTGCTTAGCCACGAGAGGAGTTTTAAAACTCCTGCCACTGAAGATTGAAGATTGAAGATTCCCCGGAACTCTTTCCAGGAATCTTCAGTCTTCAATCTTCGGGGCCAGGAGTTTTAAAACTCCTTACTTAGCCACAAGAGGAGTTTTAAAACTCCCGGCCCCTAAGATTGAAGATTGAAGATTCCTGGAAAGAGTTCTGGGGAATCTTCAATCTTCAATCTTCGGGGCCAGGAGTTTTAAAACTCCTTGCTTAGCCACAAGAGGAGTTTTAAAACTCCCGGCCCCTAAGATTGAAGATTGAAGATTCCTGGAAAGAGTTCTGGGGAATCTTCAATCTTCAATCTTCGGGGCCAGGAGTTTTAAAACTCCTTGCTTAGCCACAAGAGGAGTTTTAAAACTCCTGGCCCAGCAGATTTTTTCGGCGTCTTTAAGTATTTGCTATTTCGTATTTTATGTATATCTATAGATATATGTCCATATATATATATATATATATCCGGCTTCGAATATAGTAAACACGTCTCGACATAGAAAAGGGTATGAAACGGTAGGTTTTGGGGGGGGGGGGTACCATATATATATATATATATATATATAGGTCAGCCAGGCTCGTAGCCCATAGTTCGGTAACTGTGCGTCTAGGGCTCTGTTGAGGCGAGTTCCGCCACTCTTCGTTGCTTCCGTGGGTGGAGTGCATTGCGTCCTCTCTCACGAGGCGGTCGCTTAGGGTTCAGGGTTTCAGGGCTGAAGGGTTTTAGGGATTGGAGTGAAGCGGGGGTTTTTCCCTCGGCTAGAAGGATCTTTCGATAGCAGCCCTCTTTTCCCCGTGTTTTGCTTGGGCGCGGGTGGGGCACGACGTGCGGCGGGGGCCGGGGGGGGAGGGAGGGGGGCAAAGTACCCTTTCTTCTCCCAAACTACCGGGGAGCCCGGGGCGAGTCCTAAGCACCCAGAGTTCCTTAGAAAGACACCCCAACTCAAGACAGAAAAAGTGCTCTTTACCCTATATAAGGCTCCAAGTAGCCCAAAGTAGGCATTATTTACAGACTTTGGACTCCAGAGTGTTTTATAATCTGTATTATTGGAGCCCCAGGGTTACAGGGTTATAGGGTTTAGGGTTAGGGTTTATGGTTTAGGGTTTAGGGTTTAGGGTTTAGGGTTTAGGGTTTAGGCACTGGCACCCATCCCCCAGGCTTCTGGAGAGCGTGGGCATGATCTTGAGTTTTAGGAGCCATGGTGCCGTGGGGTTTCGAATAAAGGGATGTGACCCCTTATACTAACAATCCTTAATAGGCATTATAGCACGTACCCCTCATGAGAATCCCTCTTAAAGGCAGCTAGTATAACCCTAAACCCTAAGCCCTAAACCCTAAAAGAAAACTTATGGTTCAGGGTTTCAGCTCTGAATCACTGATCCCTAAACCCTAAACCCTAAACCCTAACCCTAAACCCAGAAGGCCCTGCAGGGCTTCTTTGGCCCGCTGTTCCTTTGAAGGGGGTTTCTAGTACGTAGGGCTTGTGTGGTTTCTAGGGCTTGAAGGCAGGTTTAGGGCTTCTATGTTGGGATGTTACCCCTTATGCAAAGAGTCCTGAATAGGGCTTATTCGTACCCCCTATGAGAATCCCTCTTAGGGACTGTTAGGGGGGAACATCCCAACGTATATGGTTTGTAGGGTTCGGGGTTGAGTCTCAACACGTCGAGCAGCGATTTTTCTCCGAATGCGTGAGACGGCTGCCAGGTTCTCGCTTTGCCGCTGCCGAATATCCGGGCAGTGGCTGCCGCACCACGGCGGAGTGGTTCAGGCTGCCCGCGGGAAGGGGGGGGGGGGGGGGGAGGTGTACGAGTTTAGGGTTCAGGGTTTAGGGTTTGGGGTTTGGGGTTGGGTTTGGGGTTTGGGGTTTAGGACTGTAAAGGGGTCCGATTTGAGTAGCTTTCTAAGGGCCCAAAGTGCTGAGAACCAAAGATCCAGTGCTGCAGGCCCATACACTTCTTGACATTTAAACTGGGAGTGGGGGGGGATTGATTATTGGATACCTATAAGTATAGATATAAATATAAATAAATAAACAATATATATATATATGTATATGTATATATATATATATATATATATATATTTATTTATTTATTATTTATTTGTATTATTTTATTTATTTTATTTATTTATTTATTTTCTTACTTATTTACGTATTTATTTATGTATTCAGATTTTTGTTTTTGCTTATTCAAGCTTTCATTTTTTGTTGCTTATTCAACTATTTATATTTATGTTTTTCTTGTTTAATAAATATTCGTATATATTCACCTTTTCATTTATATTCTGTATGCGCATATAGTAGTGCCAAAAAGTATGCTAAGCAGCTCGAGATCTGGGGTGTCCGAGGCTCTCGCGGCCCCTGGAATGGCCTGGCTTGCCTCGGCCTGAGCTGGGCGTGCACGGAGCTGAAGAACTCGTTTGGGGTTGAGGGTGTTTAGGGTTTAGGGTTTAGGGTTTAGGGTTTAGGGGCCGTGGGGGAGGGGTCAGCAGGACGTTTCTGTGGTAAGGCATCAACCAGGGGCATGGTTCCATGCGGCTTGCTAGGTTCTGTGGGCTTTCTGGCTCAGGGCATTCTCTACTATTTGCTTATGAAACCTCAAACAATGCAAAATAATCCCAATATTCCCCTTATAAGAAAGATCTTTTTTTTTTTTTTTTTTTTTTTTGGGGGGGGGGGGGGGGTTGGGGTGCTTAAGCAAAACCGTAGTTATAGTGTTTAGGGAATGCGTGTGCGCGGCAAGTTGCAGCCCAGGCCTTGTGCTCCAGGGCGACGGCAGCCTCCGCATGATCAACCTCTGGGAGAAGGACCGTCAATATTCCAGGGAGGCCTAGGGTTTATTTATAGGGTTTAGAGGGTTTAGAGGGTTTATAGGCTTTATAGGCTTTATAGGCTTTATAGGCTTTATAGGCTTTATAGGCTTTATAGGCTTTATAGGGTTTATAGGGTTTATAGGGTTTACAGGGTTTACAGGGTTTACAGGTTTAGGGTTCCTAGATAACAGGGTAAGACCTTGGGACAGTATTTTGCGGTGTAGGGGTTGGCGGTTCAGGGCTCAATATTCCAGGGGTTTAGGGTGTAGAATAGGTAAGACCTTGGGACAGGATTTTATGCAGGAGCCCAACTGGGTCTTCTTTTTTTAGGGCTGTTTACAAGGCCTTGGGCTTAGAGCTTCGAGGTTCTGGGGCCTGGGGGCTGTAAAAGACCCCATGTTTTTGCTTTCTACACTACGCGTACCCTCTGTATTGTTTTTCTTGTCAGCGCCTCTTGAATTGTTGTTTGGCTCCAGTTCAGCGCGCTGATATTCAGGGTGTCGGCATTGTGCGAAGGTTAGAAAGGCCGAGTATGTGCCTGGGCGTCGATCGAGAGGTTGTCGGAACCTATCCTGAACCCTAAACCCTAAACCCTCTACCCCCTTATGTCAAGGGACTCAACCCTTCGACCTCCAAGCTTGTGTTGCTGGGCTTGCGGAAAGCCCGAACTATCTAAATGCTGATCCCTAGGTACGCAGGCACTTGAAAGTGCATGGGTGCTTCTAGGTAGGGCCATTGCGTTCATCTCCCTTGTTGTACACCGTTCTGTATAACCCTGCCGATAACTACCCACGAGCCTTCAAGTAACTATCCTAAGCCCGCAAAGCCTACGCATACCTCCCAGCTATATCCCCCTTGGGAGTTTTTTGCTCATATAAAACCCAAGAGGATATTAAAGATTATGTTTTTTGTTAAGGTTCTAAGGGGAGTATAGCCACGATCCTTTAAGTGGAATCCTTCTTGACGACAGACCCGAAGCCCAAACCGACCCTAAAGGAGGTTGCGGTACTTTAAGGTCCGTGGCTTGGTGAACTTGGTGAACCCGAGCCTCAGCCACCCAAGGAGAAGGAAGCTGTAGAGGATCCGGGGGGCCTCCTCACAGAAACGGCCCCGACTCCGACGAGAATCCTGGCCTCAGCAGGGTCTTCAAGATCCCGCGGGATGTGTTGAAGGCAGAAGCATGCAGATGCGGGTTTCCGAAAATGGGGGGGGGGGGGGGGGGGTAATTGCCCTTCATATACCCCACAATAGTATCATCCTTATCATATGAACCCCCGAAAGGGTACCCTATTTTCGGAAACCCCCAAATATCCCCACGCCGGCAGTTTCACAAGACGCCAGCTTGGCCACACACGCATCGCGCTTGCTGCACGCGTGCCTTTGCCACTGCCAACGGCCCGGGACCTGGCTCGAGAACCACGAAAGCCTCAAACCCAGAAGCCAGAAACCACCAAACCCTGAACAGTAAAACCCTAAACCCTAAACCCTAAACCCTAAACCCTAAACTCCCCAACCCCAAAAAATGCCTGAACGAGGACGAAGCAGAGAGGGACTCGCTGTTGCCGGAGGAGCAGCGCAGCTACCGCCTTGTCACGGCCTTACATGCGGCTTTAGCCTCTGAACTTTTGGTTCCAGGGAGCTTTCAGTGTTTTAAAGCGAGCTTGTGGCTTTCGGGGCTTGTTATTGTTGGGACTTGAGAGGGCTGTTCTCTTTTAGGGTCCAACTTCCGTTGGGGGAGAGATGGAACGCGTGGAGCGGAGGCTCGAGGCTTTGAGGTTGCAGAGGCTCAGGGCATCTATGTCTCGTCGGGCAATTTTTCTCGCCTCAAGTTTAGACCCCAAAGCCCCAAAACCCAACACCCCTCTTCAAGAAGCGCTTTGTTCCCGGACTCCCGAAACCAGCACGCGATTAGGGTTTAGGGATCCTAAGCCCTGAGCCCCTCCACCCCTGCGAATTTCATCTAAACGCCCCGAAAGAAAACAAAAAACTCCTAAAAGTCCCAAAAAACATGCAAGAAAAGGCCTACAAACAAAAAAAACACCTAAACAAAAGAACCTAAAAACAAAAAGCACCCAACAAAAGTCCACAAACACAAGCAAACAAAGACCTGCAGGTGGCCAGCCAGGTCGAGGTTCCCGTGCCGTTGCCGAGGCAGGCCCCATGACCTACCTTTGGGGTTTTAGGGGCTTGACAGGGTTTTAGGGGTTTAGGGTTTATGAGGGTATTGGGGGTTTAGGGTTTAGAGTTTGAGGGCTTGACTTTGGGGGCTTTAGGGCTTGTGGTTTATTTCGGGGGGTTTTTAGGGGTTTAGGGGATACAGGGTTTTGTTTACCTTCTTTGGGGTGTTAGGGCTTGTCATCACAGGCTTTTAAGCTTTAAGGTTTATGGGGCTTTAGGGCTTTAATGCTGGGATGGGGATATAGTGTTTGAAGGTAGGCTAAGAGACTTGAGGCCTGGGGCGAAGGGTTTCAGGGTTTGGTGGCTTTTGTTAAATGTGGTTGGGGGCTGTGGGGTTTGAGGGATTGTAGGGCTCTTAGGCCTTTAAGGGTTTTAGTAGGCTAGGCCGATGTCCTGAGTTTGGGGCGTTGGAGGTTTAGGGTTCAGGGTGTCGGTTTCGATGTGACTTGCGGTTGACAAGGTTTTTTTTTTTTGTTTTTTTTTTGGGGGGTGGGGGGGGGGGGGGGGCATTGTGGGCTGGGAGTTGACGGCTTGTTTTGCGTGATGTGTTGCTGTTCGGCTGATATTGTTGTATGGGGCCCCAAGCAAACATCTGGGTCGCTTTTGGCATCTTTCCTTACCGTACTGTATCTAGGTAGGAAGAGCTGCACGGCACGCCCCTACAAGAAAGGAAGGGTTCAAACTTTCAGGTGTTAAGGCTTCGAGTTTAGGGTTTCTGCCTTTGGGGTATGAGGGCACCTTTTGGGACACTTCTCATGTTAGCGGTGTGAGCTTTAGTGAATTTGGGTTGCGCAGTGTCCCAGGACGCCGATGCTACTTCACCTGTGCGAACCTCAGGGAGAGTTTATTTTGTTTGTTTTTGATATGGGGGTGTTGCTCTTAAGGCTTTTCGGGTTCAGGGTCCAGGGCAGGTTTCAGGTTTCATTAGGGTTCAGGCTCAGACGATTTTGACTCCGGGGTCTGATAGAGTTACAAGACAGGACACACACAGAGTACGAGTTGCGGATGAGATCCTTCGGAGTAAAGGATTGGGGCTTACTCACCGCCCCCACCCCCCGGACAACCCTAGAAAAGCTCGGCAAAACTCCCCCAAAGCCCCACAAAAATAGAAACCCAGAAACAACCAAAAAAAGCAAACAACTTCGAGAAGGCCCACAACAAAAGCCGTAGAAATAGCCCTAGAAATAGAGACCCGCATAAACATAAAAAAGGACCTTATAAGCTCCACGTCAGACGTCCCTAAACCCTAAACCCTAAGCCCTAAGCCCTAAAACCTAAACCCTAAGCCCTAAACCCTAAACCCTAAACCCTAAACCCTAAACCCTAAACCCTAAACCCTAAACCCTAAACCCTAAAGAGCCAGAGCAGCATGCGCGCCCAGCCAAGGCTCAAGCCGGACCCGAGGATGTCAGGCGGTCCCCCCATGCTTAGGGGCTTTTGAAGGCTTCTTACGGCATGTAGGGTTTAGGGTTTAGGGTTTAGGGTTTAGGGTTTAGGGCTTAGGGTTTAGGGTTTAGGGTTTTTGGCTTAGGGTTTAGGGTTTAGGGTTTATAGGGTTTATGGTTTAGGGTTTAGGGTTTAGGGTTTAGGGTTTAGGGTTTAGGGCTTAGGGTTTAGGGTTTAGGGTTTAGGGGGTTTAGGGTTTAGGGTTTAGGGTTTATAGGGTTTAGGGTTTAGGGTTTAGGGTTTAGGGTTTAGGGTTTAGGGTTTAGGGGGTTTAGGGTTTAGGGTTTAGGGTTTATAGGGTTTGGGGTTTAGGGTTTAGGGTTTATAGGGTTTAGGGTTTAGGATTTATAGGGTTTAGGGTTTATAGGGTTTAGGGTTTAGGGTTTAGGGTTCACGGTTTAGGGTTTAGGGTTTAGGGTTTAGGGTTTAGGGTTTAGGGTTTAGGGTTTAGGGGTCTTTTAGGGGCTTTCAGGGCTTCTTGGTTCTTTAGGAGTTTTATGAGTTCAGGGCTTTAAGGCCATGCTTTCGAGCTTTGAGGGCTCTTGTTTTTGTTTTGGAGTTTAGGGTTTTAAGGCTTAGACCTCAGGGCTTGGAGGGCTTTTGTTCTTGTTTAGGGGTTAAGGGTCTTTTGAGTTTTAGGGTGTATTATGGGTTTAGGGGGTTTGGGGGGGTTTAAGGGTTTAGCAGGTTTAGCACGGGCTTTAGGGTTTAGTGAGGGTTTTAGGGCTGTACACATTTCAACCGTTACGTGCCTATGGCGTTTTACGGTACCAATGTTGAAGATTCACCCTAAACCCTATAAACCAGCGAGGGTACCCTTTTTCAATACTCTTGGGTCTAGAGTACCCTTAAACCCTAAGCCCTACCCTAAACCCTAAACCCTCAACCCTCAACCCTGAACCCTGAACCCTGAACCCTAAACCCTTAACCCTAAACCCTAAACCCTAAACGAGTACAAAGCCCGGCGCATGGCAGGCACCTCCCACGCATCGCTCCTCTATGCCGGGCAGACGGGCGAGAAGCTAGATGTGGCCGGCGGTCTCGGGGGGCTCTGTTGTGGTGCGTAACTAGGGCTTAGGGCTTAGGGCTTAGGGCTTAGGGCTTAGGGCTTAGGGCTTAGGGCTTAGGGCTTAGGGCTTAGGGTTTAGGGTTTAGGGTTTAGGGTTTAGGGTTTAGGGTTTAGGGTTTAGGGTTTAGGGTTTAGGGTTTGGGGCCCTCGGAATAGTCATACTTTCCCATGTTTTGGGTTTTAAAGGGTCCTGTCTAGGAATGGTTTCAGAGGGTTTTAAGGGCCATCCTAGAACAAGAAACCCCAAACCCGCAGCCCCCCCGCAAAAAAAGGAAGGGATGGGGTTTAGGGTTTATAGGGTTTAGGGTTTGTAGGGTTTAGGGTTTATAGGGTTTAGGGTTTATAGGGTTCAGGGTTTATAGGGTTTATAGGGTTTTGGGTTTATAGGGGTTTAGGGTTTTGGGTATCCAGTTGCCGGACTACTTGGACACCCAGGGAATCTTACAGCCTTGTCATCGTCCGGGCCTTGACGCCCTCTTCTCACACTGCACCCTTAATCCCTAAACCCTAGACACCCAAAACCCAAAATCCTCTGCCACGGAAGGGAGGGACAAGCCAAACCCTGCGGCGCCAGCAGAGCCGGCTTTGCTGCCCCTGCTCGAGGAGCGCATTGAGACGATGCAAGCCCTTTCCGATGCACGTTGGACGGCGCTCTTGGGCCAGTGGATGGTGGCTGTTGGGGTGCTTCGCTATGCCCATGACCCTAAACCCTAAACCCTAGACCCTAAACCCTAAACCCAGTCGAGCGGTCTTGGTGCATCAAGATCACAGCGTCGACCGTTCATTGCCTTTGCCCACGAGGTAAGCAGAAGCACCTGCGTAGTGGGTTCTCTTGGTCAGTGCCAGCGAAATTTGGTGGTGGCTGGTGTTGGGCAACAGCATGATCCTCCACGTTGGCTTCCAAGCCTTACAGGGCTTCGGGTCTTGCCTTCCCTCTAGCAAACCCAACACCTGGCTTTGGGCCTCTGATCGCTATAATTATCAACACGAGTTGAATGAATGACGGCTGGCAATAATGATGATCTGCAAAACTCTGTTCATATATTCACATCATGAACACCATCTAAATGCGTTTAACTCGTTTTTGTCATATTGAGATTCAGCAGCCAGAGAGAACAAATAGCGACAGCTACCCACATGCCTTGCCCATCTTTACGAACGCCCTAAAGGGCCCTCCATCGTCGCACCCTGCAGGGTCGAAGGCGAGGAGCCTCATGCGAAGCCCCTAAACCCCAAAACCCCAAACCCTATATCCCTGAGCCTACAAAAACTCTAAACCCTAAATCCCTGAACCTAAACCCTAAAACCCCAAACCCTAAATCCCTGAACCTAAACCCTAAAACTCTAAACCCTAAATCTTTAAGCCGTAAGCCCGGACCATCAACAACGTCGCATTTCAGGGCTTGAGGCTTGAAGAGGGTTTAAGGTGGGCTTTGGTTTAGGATCTAGGGGGTTTAGGGTTTTGTGGGTGTAGGTGGTTTACTTGGAGGTCCACGGGTACTTAAAATTGGGATTGTTTGGTTTAGCGGTTTAACCCGAAACCCTGAACCCCAAACCCTAAATCCCAAACTGGGGTCCAAGGGTCCAAGTAAAACGCCTCACGAGAACCCCGCATCCGTTTTGCCAGGCTGTGCTTGACCCTTGTCTGCACTGAAAACCGAAAGCCCTCGCCCTCGCAAAAGCCCCAATCCCTCAAACCCCAAGGACACTCGCTTCATTTCAATCTGGATCCCCGGGATCTAAGCCCCCTCCATTGCTCTCCCGAAATTCACCTTTGTTCTTTGTTGAGGCTGAGTGACACTCGGGTGCTACTGTAAAAAGCCTTTAGAAAACCCAAAGATTAGCCGGTTCCCAAAAAATTCAGCAAGTAAGAGTAGGCGAAAGTAGCGGGAGCGAAGAACAAGTGGGATTTCATGTCCAAGCGTGGGTTAGCTGAGGGTACGATGTCGTGACTCTGTCACGCTCTGGGACCCCTGTTGATTGCACTTCTTGTGGTTTCAAGGGCTGTAAACCACCTTCAGGCAAAAATAGGTTACTCTGAGTTCCTGGGTTGCTTGACTGCAAACCCCCTCCCCGGACTCTGCTCGCGTGTGGAGGGTTCAGGGCTCAGGGTGCAGTTGGGCCCTAGAACCTCAGCCCAAGCCTGCACCCTTTTCATAGGGGGATGGGGAGGGGGATTCGGGTGTACGCGACTCAGGCTCACCCGGTCCGAAGCACCCTTACATCCCAAACCACAGGTGCTACTATGTGCTTAAGAACCCCGAAAGAATAAACAAATGATAATCCCTATATTCCCCTTACAAGGAAGAATATGGTTGTATTATTTGGGGGGTTCTTAAGCATTTAGGAGGGTGCCTGTGATACTTGAAGTCTGATTGGGTTTTTGTAGGGTGAAAGGTAGAGCATCTGTCTACTGCGCGTAAGTACATGTTACTGTTTCGAGGTTTCGTAGTGACAGTTTGGGTTGCAAGTAGGAGAACCCCAGCTCGCTCCAGGTGGTGTGTCAGCGGGATACGAACGGGGTTAGCAATGTGAGGGCAATGTCAACCCCACTTCGAACTGTACATACCTTCCAACAAAGTCATCCCTTCATTCCATAACCCCAAAAAGCCCTAAACGCTACCAACCTCCAAAAATCCGGGGCCCTAAGCCTAAACCCTAAACCCTACAAGACCCCCAAAAGCCCTTAAAAAATGGCTCTGCTACCCTATAAACCCCAACAGCCCCTAAAAAATGGCTCAGTTATCCGAGGGCCTGGAGCGGGCCACGCAGGGCCTCCGCGCCGTGCGGCGCTCCGGGGCAGAGCTGGAGGCCAGAAGTTGTAGCTGATGGGGGCCCTCAGACTTTAGACTTTAGGGTTTAGGGTTTAGGGTTTAGGGTTCAGAGGTTTTGGTCTATCGGGGCTTGTGGTGGTATGCCTTAGAGGTGGAGACAATGCTTCGTACCACTAGCGACGTCTCTTGTTCATTTCCCCTCATGGGTTACGTATAAGACCGCTTTGCGCTGGAAAGGCACTGGATCCTTCCCTCCTGAGCCTGTCCCCTTTTTTTGTAAACTCGGTCAAAACGGTACCTTATTGGCCTGCGCATAAATTCCAAAAAAAAGGCCCCCCCCCCCCCCCCCCCCCCCCGCCCTCCCAAGAAGACAAGAAGACAGGCCCCAAAAATTTCAGAATGACCCCTGACATATTTTTGGTTCAAGTTCGCTTATAAAGAAACCGAACCCAAAAGGGTAGACCCTATCCTCTTAACCCTAAACCCTTCAAAAGGAACCAAACCCCGAAGGGGTAGACCGCTTATTCTTCACCCTAAACCAGAAACCCTGAGAAAGAAACCAAACCCAAAAGGGTAGACCCGATATCATTCTCCCTAAACCCTAGTTACCCTTAACCCTTATACAGAAACCAAACCCAAAAGGGTACCCTATCTTACTATCCCTAAACCCTACACCCTGATTTCTAAAAAAGCGAAACCAAAAGGGTAGACCTTTATTTTGTGAACCCTGAACCCGAAACCCTAGAGAAGTCAAACCGCCAAAGCAGGGTGGACCCTTGTTGTTAACCCTAAACCCTAAACCCTCACGACGCCAAGCCCAAAAGGGTACACTACATTATTCACCCAAAACCCTAAACCCTTATAGTGAAACCAAACCCAAACAAGGGCACCCCATACTATTAACCCCCCAGCCCTAAAAAAAACAAACCCCCAAACAGGGTAGACCCTTACTAGAATACAAGAAACCAAATCCCCAAACAAGGTAGCCCCTTTGTGAGAATATGGCTACTGGGCGACCAAGTACCCCTCAAAACCTCGAGCGATATGCAGCCAGGGTGCCTGGCGGACCGTCGCAGGAGGGACGGGGGGTTGCATTGGGATATGAGTTGTGGCGTGGGCTTTAGTTTAAGTTGTTTAGGGTGTTTGGGTTGGGGGGGGGGGGGGGGGTTCGTTTTTTTTTTTTTTTTTTTTTTTGTGGGGGGGGGGGGGGCTGATAATCGTGCCCTGTGCGCGGGGCCGCCTTTGATCAGCGAGAGCTTTGGCATTCTAAGCTTCCAGGCTGCGGTTTAACCGAATGGAGACGACTGAGTATTGGGGCCCAAAGTCCACATTGGACATGAACATTTGGATGCTACGATTGGTTCGGGAATAGTAAGTAAGGGCCTCTGTTTGGGGGAGATTTCGGAAAACCCTAAACCCTAAACCCTAAACCCTAAACCCTAAACCCTAAACCCTAAATCCTCATGTTTATGTGGTAGCTGTTTGCATGGCACCGGTGCCTTCCAGGGTTCTGTGCCCTAAGTTGCCACAATTTCCATGTGTTCAGGGCTTGGGATGTTCCCCAATTATACTAACAGGGTTTAGGGTTTAGGGTTTAGGGTTTAGGGTTTAGGGTTTAGGGTTCAGGGTTTAGGGTTCAGGGTTTAGGGTTTAGGGTTTAGGGTTACTAACAGCTCCCTAATAGGGATTATAGTATCCCCTATTACAATCCTTCTTAAGGACTGTCAGTATAAGGGGAGAGCACTGCTGCGGTCCAACCCTGCCCTGTGGCTGCGGCACGTCGGTGTGATGCTGTCGGCAACTGACAGGGCTGCACTGGCTGAGAACAAGGTCCGCTAGGTATGTACAAATCCTTATCAACCCCGCATGAGCACTTGTCATCCCAAGCAAGCGCACGACAAGCCCTGCAATCTAAACCCTTTGTTCTCCCAGTCTGCCGGGAAGGCCGGATGACCTTAGCAAAAACGGGCGTAGAGCCGTACAACCCCCTTCCTAAACCCCTGGCTGACGAACCCCGCACAGAAGAGCTGTGATATAGACATGTAAACCCTTGCCATCAGCCACCAATTTGGGTTTAGGGTTTAGGGTTTAGGGTTTAGTAGCCTTCAGGGTGAGGGTTTGTGGTTGAGGGCTTAGGGTAAAGGGTATAGGGTAGAGGGTAAGAAGGAACCCCTGGATGGCCTGGGGAAGCCAGGTGCCCTGGAGGAAGCTCCCATCTCTTGCGCAGCGGCGTGGCCAGGCCGCGAAGCGCTTTAGAGCTTCAGCCCGAAGAAACCTAAGGGGTTTTTGAGGTTTTTTAGGGGGGTTTAGAGGGGTTTAGAGGGGGTTTAAGGGGGCTTAGGGGGAGTTTAGGGGGGTTGGGGGCTTAGGGTATTTCTTGGTCTTCGCTGTTTTCCTGTGAGCTTCAGCAAGGCCGCACCCCGAAAGCCCACAAACCCTAAGAAAGGCTTGCAATGGGAACCCTAAAGCCGAAGAAATATGTGGGACCGAAGGAATATGTGCGCATATACCAGGTTTTTGTGGGACCCGAGGCCTTCAGTCTTCCTCTCGCTTCCACCCCTCCCCCCCCCCACCGCCCCCGATGGGCCAGGCCTCGCATGTCAGCAGCTTTGCGTGGCTCTGCCAGGACAGTAAATGGCTGGGGGAGGGGTTTTGGGGTTAGCGTGGTCAGTTCCCTTTACTACGTCCTTTTTGGGCTCTGTAAAGAATGTGGGCCACAGATACCATGATGCACTCATCTGAAAGCCGGCACGATTCCTGCAGCCCTTAATTAGGGAGGTATACCTGGTAGTACACCTCTTAAATTCCGAGTATGATGTAATGTTCGTAGTTACGGAGAGTTCTGGGTTGCCCTGCATTATTCCTGTCACATGTTCCGGTAAAGAGTGTGGGAAAAACCGAAAGTGACTGCTTCACAGCCTCTTCAAGTTCGAGGGCAGGGCCACTGACTCTGACAGCAACATGGCGAGTCACCTCGATAACTTGACGAGTTGAATTCATCTCGAACATCCTGACGCAGCCCTCGGCAACTGTTGAAATGACATATCAAGATGCATGCATGGTCCATACATCTATACGCGCTCAAGAGCACATCAAGAATTTCAACGTCGAGACGCCGGCACGGGACGCAGAACCCTGAACCCTAAACCCTAAACCCTAACCCCTAAACCCTAACCCCAAACCCCTAACCCCTAAACCCTAAACCCTAAACCCTAAACCCTAAACCCTAAACCAACCCCCAAGGAGCTGAGGCCGACCACCTGGAGCTCTGGCAGCTGGGCTCTCGGACTCGCAAGGCGGGGGCCTCTGAGGGTTTTTTTATTATTATTTTTTTTTTTTTTGGGGGGGGGGGGGGGGGGGGAGAATGGAATGGTTCTGGGGAGGCTTTTTACCCTAAACCCTAAACCCTAAACCCTAAACCCTAAACCCTAAACCCCTTTTTGGGTGGGTTCTGGGGAGGCTTTTTGGATACGTTTTCCAGGAGCCAGTATGGCGCCGTTTTCCCTTCATTCGGGGAAACATCGCCGCAGCGGGCTGCCCAAGGTTTCAAGTGCAGGGCTTGTCGTTTGGGAGCATTGGTATTTTGATATTGTGGGTGCTTTGTTCGCTTTGGCGCCGGGCAGGAAACTAGCCACAGCCGAAATGAAATAGCTGAAAGCATAGCACGAAAGACAGCCTGGCACGGATACTTCGCCAGGAACGCTCCACCACAGAAAATCACTTTGGCAGCGCGCCACCTTGTCTGGGAGACCCTCATTCCTAAACCCTAATCCCCCCAAAAGCCGCCAATTCCTAAGCCTAAACCCTAAACCCTAAACCCTAATTATGGGGGGAGAGACTGTGGTCAAGCTGTTCCCTTGCTCTCCCTTGCTGCATCCCCCCAGATCACATTTTCCTCATGATCCTTAAATTCTGAAGCTTCTAAACCTTAGGTGAAGCCCGAATTTAGGGTTTAGGGTTTAGGGTTTAGGGTTTAGGGTTTAGGGTTTAGGGTTTGCTGTGATAGGGCGTAGGTGCTGTGAAGGTTAGGTTTCGGAACAAGTTCGAAAGCTTCGTGAGGTGCGAAGAGCAGCTTTGGCCCGATTGTGGAGGGCCATCTAACACTTTTCTCCCACCCCACGCCGTCCGAGGCGGCAAAGCCCGCCAAACCTATTCTTTTTAGGGTTTAGGCTTAAACTCAAGGCCACAGTCCACTGCTAAAAACTTATTCAGTTTCATGAATTCGGGGTTGGGTCCGACACCAAGAAGGTGCAGGGGGGAGCTGGGGGGGGGGGCCAGGGGGGCCAGCGAGGGTAGAGAAACGGGAGCGAAAACCCACCCCGCCTGGCCTGGGTTGAGGGGCACGCGGCGAGGGGTCCCGGACCCCTCTGGGAATGGGCAGCGACGCGCAGGATCATGTTCCCGTGCCGGGCCCATCGTGGGCGCTACCGACCCCCATGTTGTGGGAGGTGGGCGAGCGGCCTGGGTCGGCTTGCGCCATCGAGGTCGACGGGCTTAAGCGCCGCCCCCAACGTAGCAGGGCGGCCTAGGCCCTGGGTTCAGGGCTTACCCCCCATCAGCCACCAAACCCCGTAAACCGATAAGCTCTAAACCCGAAACCCTGGACCCTAAACCCCGAATCAATATCCGTCAATATCCCCCAAAATTTTGGGACCTTCTTGACCAGCCCTGGAAGGGAGGGGAGTCCTCTTGGTGCTTGGCGCTTGAAGGCAGGGGGCTTTGGTCAGGGTTTAGCGTTTTCGGGTTCAGTTTAGGGTTTTAGGGTTTGTGGTTTAGGACTTTAGGATTTAGGGCACCATAGCTAATCCTTGGATTGCATTCTGGAATAGGATCCTTTAACAGTACCTTGCACTTGTCATGTGGTAGTCAGAAGGTCCGTAATTGGGTTTGTGGCTTTGGGGTTTAGGGGCTCTGGGCAGCTAGGGCCTTGGTCGTTTGGTGTAACTTGGGATGTTGCCCAAAACTTCTAACCCCCAGTGACCTCAGTGGTTAGGTTCGCGTAGAAAAGCCACAAAAGCCAAAAGGGTGCATCCTTTCATATCCCAGGCTACTGGAACTTTGCTACTGTAGGTCCATTCTTCGGGGAAACTAAATACAGTAACCATCATATCCTCATTGAAATGCCCCAATCTCAGAACCCCAAAAAACCACATGTGAGCCTGAGCAAGCCA